AAATCTTCGCGGACTTGGCGAACAAAAAAGAAATCCCAGAAATTTCCGATGAAGACCTTCAAGACCTTGACCACCGCTTAGACGAAGCAATACGGAAACTTGCAGCCTGCAAAAAACCACCAGAACAGGAAAAAGAAAAACCACCAGAAAAAGAAGAAGGAATAAATATTTTATCGGACGTAGTTTTAACCCCAGCGCGACAAGAGCTTCAAGAACCCGACGACAGTAATGAGACTCAACACTCTTCTCAAGAGAATCCAATTCTCGAAATCCGGATTTCTGAGCAACCATTGAATAAATTTAAGAACCAAATTATACTTTCCGAAAGTTTAGACTCTATTTCCTCCCGGGTAAGACTTACAAAACCATTTGATAAAACCCGTCTAAAGGTAGTACTGTCAAACAGAAACTTCGAAGATGACCTAGTGAGAATCTTCTTAGAATATCTAGATCCAAAAATAGTCTATGGCATACTTTTTGAAGAACGTGTGAAAAATAAAGCAATCCCAATAATTCAAAAACATTTCAAACATTCAGCCTTCAAGTTGGTCCAGAGTAATTTCCTTTTAACTGACATCACAGATAAAGATGAACAAACGCAAAAAATCCAGCATCATCACGAAACAAAAACCATTCATAGGGGTATAAATGAAACGAAAGACTCTCTATCTAGAACATATTATTGGCCATACATGATTCAAGACGTGACGAATTATATTAACACTTGTGTCACCTGCCAGAAGTCCAAATATGAACGCCACCCCAATGTTATCAAATTCAATCCTACACCTATTGGAGAACACCCCTTCGAGCATATTTATATTGATGCATTTTCAGCGGATAAACAAAAATTTTTGACAGTTATTGATAGCTTCTCACGCTTTGCCCAAGCATACCCGATTCACTTGAATGCACCCAACATATTAGATGGTTTATTGAAATTTTTTTCCCATTACGGTATCCCAAATAAAATTACTTGCGACTCCGGCACAGAGTTCAAAAATAATCTAATTGAAGACTTTTGTAAATTACACAAAATAATTTTACATTATATAACCCCAAAAAATCCTAACAGCAACAGCCCTATAGAACGCCTACATTCTACGCTCATTGAAGAAATCAGAACACTAAAACTCGAACACCCTGACAGACTAATAACTACACAAATGCTGTACGCAATATTAGGATACAACAACACTATTCACTCCGCAACTAAATTCACCCCTTTTCAAATTATCAAAGGAAACGTTGAACACCAAAATCCATTCGATATAACATTTTCAAAAATAACTTCTGACTACATTGAAAAACACGCAAGAAATCAAAAAATCATCAACGAAATAATCAAACAGAATAATGAAAAATCAAAGAATCTTACCGAAATTAATTCCAAAAGAGATGATCCACCAGAGATAAAAATCGACGAAAACACGTTTCTCAAAGAATCGCCCCGAAATAAATTATCTCCCCTTTATAGAAAAATATCTCCTATCGAAGATTGTGGCACCAAAGTAAAAACGCAAAAATCGAAATATCATAAAAATAAACTGAAACCTCAGAGAAAACTAGCTCAGAAACAAATTTTTCCAGATGACGACGCTGCACCTTCTAATCCTCGGGATCCTAACTGCTAATGGACAAAAGATAACTATGACAGAAATATCTAACCCCATCCTTCCCTTCTCTCTTGGAAAAGCGAGAATCACTACCCAAAAACATACATTTTTGAAACCTATCGACTTGAAACAATTTGACGACCCAATAAATAGTATAACAAACAATTCGAAATACATAACTGATCTCATTTCAATAAAAGACGTCTTATACCCACAACTACATCATATGCATAACCATCTGTTACAACTTCTCAAACAAATCTCTGCGAAATTAACAAACATCAAACCTCAAAAATTCAGCCGACCAAAACGAGGACTAATCAATTTCGTAGGCAGAACGAACAAATGGTTTTTTGGCACCTTAGACGATGAAGACGAACAAAAATATGACCAGGCTATTTCTACATTAACAAACAATCAAAAATTGCTACATCACGATTTGGAAAATTACATAACTATCACAAAAAGATTCCTGAACGAAACAACAAATAATTTGCAACAAATTGTCAAAAACCAACGACTTATCGGCGAACAAATAGAGACTATTGTGAACAGTCTGAATAAATATACGCTATTCTTACGGCTTCAAAACTCTCTCGATACAATGATAATTGATTGTCAAAATATACTGTCAACACTGAACAATATCGAAGAAGCGATATTATTCAGCGAACTGAATATCATTCATAACATAATATTACCAATATCCGAGCTCAAAGAATTAATCGAAATCATGCTCAAAACGTACAGAGGAAGTCTACCAGATTTCGATAACATTCAATCATATTACAAACTTCTGAAAATTGAAACGCTATACAAAAACGATTTAATTCTATTCACGATTCACGTCCCGATACTGCGAGAAAATCTTTACGATTATTATCATTTATTTCCTATCCCGATTTCCAATAATGCCATAATCCCCTCGAAACCATACATCATCCTCAACTCGACTTACCATCACTACGAGGACAGCCCATGCCATGAAGTCGAGACAACCTGTATTTTCCGCCCGGAAAATCAAATATCCAAGGAAGATTGCCTACCCGAACTACTGAAAGGAAAGAGCAGCCAGCCATGCCAATCATTACGAGTCCATCTAGACCAGGATGTAGTAGAACCTGTCAGTGATACCTATGTCATTGTCATTCCCGCCGGACACACCACCGTCGAGAAGAAGTGTAAAGAAAGCGGATATGAAGAAATCCACAAACCACAGCTGATCTACGTCCCTCAGAAATGCAGCCTTATCATTAATGGAGAAGAATACAGCAACGACGTCTCTTCGATACGAGAAACCCCTCTGCAACTACCCAGGGTTGAAATCATCGAACCCGACCATGCGGACCACCCCCTGAAGATCTTGGACAAGATTAACCTGGACGAGCTGACGAAGCTCCAAAAGCTAGCCGAGAATACGCAACTCCACCGACTCCAGGCCTTGGAAGAAAACAACACCCCATATACTACGTTTTATATTTGTATTATTCTGAGCATAATCATTATCGCTCTAACTATTTACTATTTCTCTATGAAATACAAGAATGATATTTTAAAACACTTCAAAAGTGACGAGACAAAACCTAAAGACTTGAATTCTGAACATAATACTACCGTATTATTTTCATCTTAGGGATGGAGGAGTTATATGCTCCAACCCCCAGAAAACCCTTAGATTGTAACTTCCATGTAGTGCTGACTTAGGTTTATACGAATACGATTGACCATGCTAGATAGTTAGTTTTCAGTTCTGTTAGCGACGTCGTACCGTCCACATCTCTCTGTACAAATAAAGTTATTTGTTCGAAACTAAAATTTTGGCTTTTTAAAAATAGTTTCTCGTGGCCCGAAAGCTTAATTTGCGTATTAATCATTGAATTATTTGCATGAATCAACTAAGCATTAATAATATTCTTGGAATCTCCAAATGAAATTTCAATAACAAAGATTGACTTCGGCTAAGAATTTTAATAATGAACCTAGAGTAATTCAAAGTATTCATTCTCAAAACTAATGGGAAATTATTTTCTGAGAATACAATAGAAGAACTTTGTAAACCGTCAATCAAGAAATATTGTATTTCCAAAGTATGTACAACTTATTGAAATATGTGGAATGTTAATGCATTGATTTAAATTGTAAATGATGTGTTTTTTTATGTTTTGTATGTTACAATATCTTCATTATTTTATTCTAAATGCTTCCTAGCATAGGTCATCAAGGATACCTGAGATTTTGTCTTTTTTTTGTTAAAGAGCTTTCATGACAGTAATTTTGCAACAATTTTGATGATATTTTGGTGTATTGTGATTATGAAGATTAGAACATGCCTTTCAAATTTTGAAAAACGTACTGCGACTGCTTATCCCTTTGGCTCACGAGTTCTTGTTTTGAGAGATAAAACTTTGTTTTTGTTCATATATCGTCAAAATATGGTATTTGTAAACACGTCGAACATTGTTTTCGAATTAACACTCCTAGAAGTACGAAAAAAAATGTGTCTACAATTGTAGACATTTGTAGTCAATGGAACATAATAATTATAATATTTATTGAAAAATTAATGAACAATGGTTACATGAAATCAAGTATGAAAAAGACTGTTCAATCCAATGTGAAATGTCTTGAAATTGTTGCGATTTTTTTGAAGGCCCAAATCCATCGAGACTTGCTCTTGCCAACCAACATTTTTACATCTCCCAGGAAGGACACTCCAGTGTGCTCTGGTATGTGATTCACATTGTCCAACTGTACATCTACAAGATGCCTCACCGCGACACGGCTGAACTGGGACGTCGTTTTTTGACAGCCTCTTTACCCTACCTTCTTTCAAGAAAATTCATTTTTGACATTTTTGATAAGCACCTACTCTTTTTCCATTCTGATGTGTAATATCTCTGGAATCTTTTTTGCTGACCGACCAAGCTTCGAGTCTTTTCTGTACTCTGTCCACGGTGGATGGCACATTATACGTTTCTGGTGAACCAAACAACGGATCATTTTTAGAGAGAATAGAGGTCAAATCATCCATCAAATATTTTCAATTTTCATAGATATCAATTAGGATTACACATCAAAAATGAAACATAGATAAAAAACTAATCTTTTTTCTTTCGGATTCCAAATGAAAGACTGAGACTGAGGTATAACTGGGTAAAGTGATAAAGTGAATGAAATGGGAATTCAAAAATGGTTAATGTTGACGTCATTATGATGTAGCTGTCTCCCACCACCTTCACCAATATACTATAACCGTGTTTAACGGTTAATGTGAATGAAATATCCCCTAGGTGTCCAAATTTCCACTGAGTGTATAATAATTTCGGGACACCACCTTTGCTTCAATTTCGAACACTCAACAGCTTCTTGATATTATGTGTTTAGGTCTGCTGCTGGGTGCCATGCCACCAAACATTGTATCCAAACTGTTTGGATCCACAAGCAATTGCCTCCGGATGATAGCAGTGTTTGTCAAACTTGTCTGGATATGGTCAAACAAGCTAGAGATCAGTTGGAAAGCAATGAAACACAAGTAAGAAATATGTTGATAGTATTTTACAGTACTGAAATTATCTCTGTATTCTGTATATATATATTTCATTTTTTAATTATACATGATGAATAATATCAGAAAACATTGAGTGCTGAGAAAGTGTGAGGAACGAAAAATTAAAATTAGTGTCAAGATATCAATCCATTGGTGCAAATAATCTCAAAATTATTATGAAATGAATGATATACTGCTAAAAATAATTTAATATGAAATTTTACTCATATCAGATAAGGAGGATTCTGAGTATTCACCGAATATGTCTAAACAATAATTTTGCTGAAATAAATATTAGAATCGTTTCATTATTGACATTATAGATAGATGTTGGCTATCTTCTGATTTGACGTTTGTGAATCATGAACCATGAAGGTTACATCACTTCACAATTCATAATCAATCTTCAGCTCAATGATATTTTGTATTGATAGTCTGAGGAAATGAACAATGAATGTCATCATTTGTTATTCCACATAATTATGATAATTTGAATCATCCACTGGATGTGAATCACATGGATCAAAGTATCTTAATAATTGAGTATATACTTCTAACATAATTTTTCATGAAGAAAAGGTTATTATGGAGTGTGGATATGCCAATATGGTGAGTGATCTGGTCAAACTTGAATATTCATGAGTCAATCACTGCATATCACTAAAAAGTGTAATTCACATGAGAATGGCATTTGTTTCATTTGTCACTTTTCTAGTAAAACTCAAATAACTCAAAAACGGTATGATCGTTACATTCTATGATACATGAATCTGAACTAAAATAAGGAGGGGAATTGAAAAATGTTGTACTTTATATTTCATGAAAACAAATTTTGTTATTAGAGAAAAGTAACTTTCAAAACGAAAAACCGTGCGGTAAAGTAACTTTTCCGCAAGCTTTAAGAAAAAATGAATTTCAGTTTTCATTATGTTCCGATTATCTCGCGGAGGTTGGCGGAAACGTACGATATCCGAATCATGTTGCCATTCAACATGCCCTATATACAGGGTGTCCCGAAATTAGCTTGCCAAACTTCAACAGCGGCTTCTACGGCAAAAAATAGGAGGAAAAGTTTCAATCAATGAAGATGATATTTCTTGAATGACGCAATTCGGAACAAGAACCAAACTTTACATGACCAATGCAGTGAAAATAAAATGATTTCATAATTTCATTCAGGAGTGTACAATAGTATAATACAGGGTGAGGCTACATTACATTGTTGAATTTCAGAGCTCATTTCAAAAGAAGCGTCATGGCCGCCATTTGGCGATACGTCAAATAAATGGTGACGTCAGTTTTTATACTGTTTCGTTATTGGTCAGATAATCTTCCATTTCCAATCATGCAGCAAGGTTATCACTTATCACCAATTATAATCAAGTGATCAAAAAGATGTTAGAGTCCTGTCGTTGAATAAAACATAATAGGAGGCACCCATGATGTTTTAGTTCATTCTTGACTATTCTTCATAACAAAATATCATGTGAATGTTGGAGACTTGGCAACGTTGTGCTGAATGCTGAGAACTGACAAGACCACGCCCACAAGTCGTGCGAGGGGTTGTCACGTTCATCGATTCAAATGTCGTCTAGTGTGAATTAATATAATTATTATTCACACAAATTTATTATAAGATATAAGTCACAAATCATAAGGGAACATTTTGAGACAATTGAATTTTTATTGCTAGTTAGGAGTATTACCAATACCCAATTGAATTTCTGAAGTTTCCAATCGTATTTCAACATATGGCAATGGCAACTGTGCTCTGTTCTGCCCCTACTTACGAAATCGTGGCGCCAGTTTATACTGGCGGAAATTTTCTAGCCGTTTGAAAATAACTGATGATTTTAGCACCTAAAATTCGACCAAAAAATTCTTCAAAACTATGAAATTGAAAGGTATTTGTGACTGATCTATTTAAGAAATAAAAAAAAAGTTAGTCCACTCACCTATTAATTATTGCCATAACTATTGTTCTCTGACAAACCGTTTCAGGACATGATCAAACAAGTTTTCGAAGGATCTTGCGCCCTCATCCACCTGAAACTCATCGTGAAAGAGTGCGACAAAATCGTTGACCAGTACATCCCCGATCTCATCGACACCCTCGCGTCCCAGATGAACCCGCAGGTCGTTTGCAGTGTTGCCGGGCTGTGCAACAACGAGAAAGTCCACCAACTGCTGGCCGAACAAGGAGAGATTGTTAACGAAAAGAGAGTGGCAGTGGTGGACGCACCTGACAAGTGCGAGGGGTGTCACACTGTGGTTGATATTTTGGAGAGCAGGTTCAACAAGATGTCTAAAGATGACGTGCTCCACAGCTTGTTAGGAGTAAGTAAAGTTCCTCAATGCTTTCGACACCTTTGTTTTGACGTATTTGTATATTTCGAGTAGGGATAGGTAGCGTGTACATTTGACAGATGACCGACCCTGGAGGTTAAACAACATCACTTTCGTTATTTTATTACAAAGGAATTTATGAGATGGATTTATGCACACAGCTTTTTCATTAATCTGTTGTTTTTATTAACCGTCATTAAATTTATTTTTATCGAAAGACTTTCATGTCTTAATGCATCACCTTAATTTAAACTTTAGCTTGAACTCTTCTTCATGATCCAACAGCATAGTTAGCCTGATGAAAATATTGGGGTTCTAACCTCCACTGCTCACATTATTAGAAGAAGACTAATTTGTTCCTGTTGTTTTAACCACATTTTGAAAAAATGAGAAAGAGAAATTGTATGTCTGACTTCTGATAGAATCGCGCCTGCATATGTCACACTTTTACTTGTATTAGTCGTTAGGAGATAAAAGTTGGTCTACTTTTAGCGAATATTTAATGAGAGATAAAAATTAATTTAGATGCATAAATGATTGAACGGAAATACCAAGTTTCAACTCATTAGTGAAATCGTTGATGATTTTGAAACTATAGATTAATGTAAAAACGGCGATCATAAATCCGCCTTAAAGTGATTTAAAATTATTTTGGTATATGAATCCTGTGTTTTGAGCTATTTATTTATTCAAGCATGCCATCACATTGTGCTGTTGTATACAATGCACAAAAAAATGCAGCAAGAGATAAAGGAATAAGATTTTTCAGGTAGGTAAATTGTGATCCAGAAATGTTGTCGTTTCTCAGAAAACTAATAAAATAAAAAAGACCTTTGGAAAATAAAGTGAAACAAAAAAATTCAGACACCAAAATTGGAGTTAGCAAAATTCACAATTATTACCAAAAAGTTATTTCAGATTTTGTACAAAGCAATATATGTAATCACAAAAATAAAAGAAAATGAACATGCATATATCTGGATAATTTTGAGTGACACAGTATTACTTTTTTGAAATTGTTTTATTGCTTTTCACGAGAATTGTGAATATCAGTTGAACTTGCATTCCAACAATTCTAACACTATCTGAAACATGATAATATTCAAATGTAAAATTATTGTGTTATGAAAACATTGAAAACCACGTTTTGCAATCAGTATTGATAATGTTAATGTACACATAATGTTGAATTTGCAAGTAAAAATATTTCCTCTTTATTTACTTTGAATACCTAGGATAATAGTGCTTATGTTTTCATTGCTCAAGAAATATCGGGCCTAAATCTTTGTTTATTTACCTTGAAATTGGACTGCCTGTTGAGAAAAAACGCCTACTACATTTTTGATGCATCAAATTGATTATCGAAGAGGTAGAACGAACGAAACGAAATGGGAATTAAACGTTTTGTTGTTGATGAAAAATACCAGTTTTTCAAGGATTCGTTTTTCACAACATGACGGGCAATCTTTCTACTACAAAATACATATGTATCATGACAGAATAGATGGAGCATACTGAAATTACCATTATTACCCTGTTGAGGAACAACTGAACTGCTGGAAGGAAGAATGAAATCTTTTTTTTCAGTTTTGTGGACAATTAGGAAGCTTCTCAGACGGTTGCAGCAACATCATTATAACCTATTTCAATAAAATCTACAGCCATCTCCAAAACCATCTAAATTCCAATGAAGTCTGTCTCATGTCTGGCGAATGCAGTGCACAGTTCCACACACATGCTGCAAAAGTTGAAATAACTCCTATGTCTCATATTGGATATGTTTCTGTAAAGTAAGTAACTTTTTTGTTTCAATTTTCATACTTTTATTTATGATTTTTGCGACTTGGTTTTTATTTGTTTCAGAAACACTTTTTTTTAAAAATTGTGAACTATTTTCCTTCAAAATTGTATTGCTGTAACTGTTTCGTAAGGAATGAAAATGTGCATACTATTAATACCAGGTCTAAAACATTTTGTAAAGACTTATTGACCTATAATTCTCCAAATGTGATAGGGCTCAGATTATTCAATCTGCTCTCCATTGATTTGCAAAACTCTAGTACTGTCTATAGCTTTAAAATTGCACTAAAGTCCTTCCTTACAGAAAAAAATTATTACTCCGTTCAGGAAATGTTTGAATAAGTATCAGGTGTTGTACTCCATTTTCAAAACATTGTCATTGTATAATGTGTTTATGTGTTTCTGCTGGTAAAATGTCTACTTACTTATTTTAGGTTTTATTTTTAGGGGTATTCCGTTACTACTCCTACATAATGTAACTTCTGATTGTCTTATAGGATAGATAATAAATATTATTATTATTATTAGTATATGTAGATCTTCGTGTCTTGAAAAAAAACTAATGTTTTTATCCTTCAGATGAGCGGTGTCTTCTGCTTATTGTATACAAAAATAGCCTTTCAATCCTGGAACCCCTGGTCTAGTGCACCAATTTTTCCCGAACGTCCATGTCAACCACATTCGTTTTTCCAGCAAAGACAAAGACGACCTACCCTGGTCTAGTGCACTAATTTGTCTCGCATGTCCATGTCAACCACATTCGTTTTTCCAGCAAAGACAAAGACGACCTACCCTGGAGTAGGTCACTAATTTGTCTCCCATGTCCATGTCAACCACATTCGTTTCTCTAGCAAAGACAAAGACGACCTACTATGGTCTAGTGCACCAATTTTGGCCTCATGTTCATGTAAACCACATTCGTTTCTTCAGTAAAGACAAAGACGACCTACCCTGGTCTAGTGCACCAATTTTTCCCGCATGTCTATGTCAACCACATGCGTTTTTCTCACATGTCCATGTCAACCACATTCGTTGTTCCAGCAAAGACAAAGACGACCTACCCTGCGATTTGTGCGAGCAGCTCGTCCAGCATCTCAGAGAGCTCCTGATCGCCAACACCACCGAGGCGGAGTTCAAGCGGGTGCTCGAGGGGCTGTGCAAGCAGACCGGCGACTTCGCCAATGAGTGCGTCGCCCTGGTGGGGCAGTATTACGCGCCGGTCTACGACTTTCTGGTCAACGAGCTGAACTCCACCAATGCTTGTAAAGCCATCGGGATTTGCCCGAGTTCGGACAAAGAGGTATGTTTTGCGACGTGTGGATATTGAAATGATAGGTGTGTGTATTCCTAATAAATTGATTTAGTCAAAATAGTGTTACTTTCATTATAAGTCTGGAGACAGTGGTTGAGTGTGCTTAGAGATTGAGATGAGAATACAGTAGACTGAAACACTTGATTCTAAAATAATACCATGACCATGAAAATTGTGTATGCCTCATAGTTTTTGCAGGATAAATTATCAAATATTCCCGTTTGAACGACGATATCTAAAGCAAATTTTATAAAGCCTCAGTGTGTCCCAATTAAAGTTATAAACTAAAAATATGAACATGGCGCAAAGGTCCAAAAAGTGAAATGATGCCAAACACATCACAACTTTGTTCTCTTGAGCAGTAAAGTGTAATGGGCAAGAGGCCTGTTATATCTCCACTTTGAGATTTCACTTTTCAAAATACACTTTTCTACTCAACAGATTACTTTATTCAAAAGACAATGGTTACTTGAATTTCTAATGGCTCTCTGCCATATTACTACTAGACTACTCTAACTATACTACTGCCAAGGTTGCCATGCAGGTTCCTCTTATAATATTGGATCTGCAGCGTCAGCGCTGATCCTAGAAATTGTAGGAAGCAGATAGAAATATGATCAGTGCTGATTGCAGAACCATATGAAAATACTGAGAAGCTGTTTCAGTGAAATATTTGATTTCATTATATTGAAGTACATGGAAGTACTAATCTAACTAACCTAACTAATCTTCCACTTACACAAATCGTTTTTTTCCTCAGAGCTCTGTATATTTTTTGAAATATTTATTGAAATTCACGATATTTTATAACATGGAAAACATGGGAAAACGCTTGACGTAATCACCCATGTTCACAGGTGAAGATTCGACTACCCTATCCATAACCTATGCATTATTCTGTTTCTGTAAGACGAGTGCAAGCATATTTTTGGTTGTCATTTTTATCAAAATATGAAACGCATTATCTGGCCTGAATACTTACTGCAGATAACAGAGAACAGAACACATAACTGAAGAATCAGATAATCTGAGGATTATATTTGAATATTCACACTATTCACAGTACTATAAAATAGGAATGTTTCGAAAAATTCGACTAGCGTGTAGAACCCCATTGTTCCGACAACATGCGAGAACAAAAATATGTGAATTCGACTTCCACTTACACAAATCGTTTTTTTCCTCAGAGCTCTGTATATTTTTTGAAATATTTATTGAAATTCACGATATTTTATAACATGGAAAACGTGGGAAAACGCTTGACTTAATCACCCATGTTCACAGGTGAAGATTCGACTACCCTATCCATAACATATGCATTATTCTGTTTCTGTAAGACGAGTGCAAGCATATTTTTGGTTGTCATTTTTATCAAAATATGAAACGCATTATCTGGCCTGAATACTTACTGCAGATAACAGAGAACAGAACACATAACTGAAGAATCAGATAATCTGAGGATTATATTTGAATATTCACACTATTCACAGTACTATAAAATAGGAATGTTTCGAAAAATTCGACTAGCGTGTAGAACCCCATTGTTCCGACAACATGCGAGAACAAAAATATGTGAATTCGATTGAAATGTGCATATAACTGGAGTAATTGGTAATAACATACCATGAATGCATACATTTTTTATAATACTTCAAAATACACCATTTGACTACTCTACAATTTCATGGAACGTTCTATCTAGTACCGAGTACTGACGTCATTATCCCTTTTCCTGTGTTGCCAGCCGTTTTATTTTGAGGGAATATCAAGTAAATATTTCGCTACTTTCGAACTTAGGTATAGTGGGTTTATTTCAAAGTTTATTCTTGTTAAAATCCATGAATTTCGACAATAATTCAACAACTGGAAGGATGCACTCAGCTTCAAAAAGACAATTGTCACTTCTTTGTCCTTATTTTTTTTCATGAAATAATATAAGAGATTGTGACATATTGTGATGTAAGTATTACATTAGAGTATGGCATATGATCGGGAATTTCAGGTTCATTAATAAGCGTGAAAAAGCATATTTGCGGAACATATTGGCAAAAACCTTCAATTATAGTATTATTGTTACAATGACTTGAACTTGGTCTGACGGCCTCATTACCCAAACTTTTTCTGCGCCATCTTTATGCACCATAGTTTCAAATTATCTAGGTTAATGTAGGGTCATTATTTTTATTTTTTGAAATGTTTTCCATGGACGTATAAATATGTCATGTAAGTATATTGAGCTCACTCATATCCAAGTTGATTGACTTTGAGTTTCTCGACCCGGAACTTCATTAAACATTTTAACAACCAAGCATGTATTGGAAGTATGTTGGCTCGCATATTTTTTGTTGAAGCTTATCCTTGTAAACAGTACAAACTACAACCGTGGACTTCGAAAAGATATATCGTGGCTTTATTTTATAAAGAATAACAAGCACAAAGTAAAGACGTTTACATGATTTGTCAAAACAGTCACTATGACTTTTTCGTTTCCACTAAAGTACAAGGTGATTTTTCTTTGTATTCAACATTTTTCATAGGGCGCTCTCATCGCTCCATTTCTGCCATCGCAAACGACGGACTTGGCACTTTCTCTGTCATCTCACACCGGACAAAACGCTCGTCGGTTGCCAGAGCTCAGAATACCAGTCGTAAAGTTGTAAAGTAGTCATCAATTAATTTTATTTTTTGAAATATCACGCATATCAGCTATGGACGCAAACAATATGTCTTGTAAATATATTGAGGATACGCGAATCCTAGTTGATTGACTTTGAGTATCCCGACCGGGAACTTCATTATATCCACAAATTCTAACAACCAAGCATATATTGAAAGTATATGGTCTCGCACATTTTACATAGGTCGCTCTCATTGCTCCCCTTCTGCCATCGCAATCGGCAGACTTGGCACTTTCTCTGTCATCACACACCGACAAACCGCTCGTCAACATACCCCCGGCGTTGCCAGAGCTCACCGCAGACAACCAGCTGCCGATCGATCGCTTGATGCCTCCTCACACCCAGGTGCTCTACAACAAGGAGGTTTGCGAGTTCTGTCAGTACTTTCTACATTACCTTCAAGTGGCCATCACCGATCCTAAGACCGAGGTAAAAGATTGACGGAGTGTTTGTTTAGTATTTGTTGTCTGAACTTGTACAAATTGACTTTATTTTTCTATTGACTGGCAATGAAATGGATGGAAATATGGAAAACAAATCTATGACCACCAGGAGGTGTTACTGTATCGGACGAAATTATCTTCACTTTTTCCTAGAAAGTTTTCGAAATTTGTGGTTATGTAAGTTGTCCACTGAGAACATTGATTACAAATCCCAAAAATCAAGTAAAATAAATACCACATCATTTAAAAATCTTCGATGAGACAATGAATCAACATTCAGCTGCAGTCTTTGAGTATTATAGGAAACCATGAATGATGAAATGCCATTTTTCCTGAAGACTAAACATCTCAAAAATGTCTTCTGAACTTTCTCAATCATCTCAGAGTGGATAGCTGTAGTGGGATTCCAAATAGTTGAGGCATACTCTAATTTAGATCTGACATATGCATTGTACATGACTGTTGAATTATTCCATTTGAACTTGTTGGTATTTCTAAGAACAAAGTTTAGTTTCCGGTAGGCATCTTTCACCATATATTCAATGTGCATTACGAAATTGAAACCACCATTGAAAATAACCTCTAAATCTTTGATATAATCAAGTCTCTCCAGTACAATGTTTTTACATTTTACATTTGCCCTCATTCAATGGCAGGTCGTTTATGTAACAAAACTCCACGACACCATCCAAATCATTTTGCAGGTCTATTCAATCCGTTATGTCGCTCACACTGTGGTGGTGTTTGAGATCGTCAGCGTAAAGAAGAAATCGTGAAGTTTTGATATAGTTACCTATATTGTTGACAAATAGATCAAATAACAAAGGACCTAGTATTGACCCTTGCGGGACTCCAGATGTTGCTATGAACTTTTCAGAACAGGCATCATTATATTCTGAACGAAATAGATGACTTGCTCACCAATATGAAATGATTTGTCAAAATTTAATAATTAATGTTTTCAAATATTTTATTATTCATCAGTTTATTATAATTGTATAGTTTTAGGTATTATTGTTAACTATACTTCCTTATACCAGAACTTGATTCTGACTGGAAGTAACATTTTCAATAAATAAATAAAATATTGAACATTGTATTCTGTTATGTAAATACAATCTTATCAATGCAATCATGTTTTCATCAAGAGAGAAACATTTCAATTTACTCACAAGGATCGAGTGATTGACTGATATATCATTACTGAATATTGCAAGATTGGTTACTGTAGATTTCTTACTCAGAAAGCCATGATGTTGTGGTATTATTAATTGTTCAACGTGCTTGTATAGTCTGTTGTGGATGGCCCTCTCAAAAATGTTTGATGGGGAGGGGAGAATCGTTACTGGCCTGTAGTTATTAACCTCACTGGGATTTTTGTTTTTATAAAGTTTTTATAAGGTCAATACGCGTCAGGTAGTTACTATTCCTATTTCTTGCTACTTCCCCTAGGAGAAAATCAAGGAGGTAGTGGACGAAGCTTGCGGAAAACTCCCCAGCGTCGTCAACTCCACCTGCCTCAACTTCATCGACAACTACGAACCGGCCCTGGTGGCGATTCTCGCCCAAGAGATCGACCCTTCGCAAATCTGCCCCCTCATCAGAGCTTGTCCCTCGTCCGATAACAAGGATGTAGAGATCTTCATGGAGGCCAAGAGCGATTCGAAATGCCCTCTCTGTCTCATAGCGGTCACCAAATTGGAGAATTTGGTGAAAGACAACAAAACTGAGGTAAATAAGTTGAGAAAATAGTAGTTTGTCCTTGGAAAATGTTTCTTCTAATGGGACATGTCACGTCGGGGTCACCAAATCGTGGATACAAATTATAAGACTTTGAGTCGTAATTATATTATAAAAATGTCACATCAATGTCAGACTATCAAATTATAATATACCAAGTATGTAACATAACTAGTCACCATAAGTATACTCTGGTCAATTCACTTTGTGAATCTTCTGTTCGGTTCGTATGGACTGGATGGTTTTCTCCGATTGAGTGGCAGCTATCAAATACTGCTTCTCTGATCTGCAACAGAACATCACATATCAATCGAAGTACATTCATATCAGAAAATAAATATCATTAGATGAATTACATGGATGTTGAATCTGAGACATACCTGAATAAAATATTCAACGTCCGTAATTGGATTGCTACATATCCGCGCTTTCTTTCCGAATAGTGCTTTTTTCCAGTAGTCATCTTCCACATTTTCAATTACGTACGTGGGTTATATTAAGGACCTTGAAGGACAAACGATGTGCTGCTCGGATCTAAAACTAAGGATCAATTTCAAATTTGAATCGTGAGACCTACATAGAATATTGGATATTGTTTTCAACATTCGTAACTGGAACGCTATATATTTTTGTAATTCAAAACTATCTCAATGAAGACGAGACAGGCAGATAAACAACAATTTTCTCTGCAATGAAGAACACTGTATATACCTAACCCACCATGCGCCTACCTCCTTTGCAGAGAGGGTTTATAAATGCTGAGTTGATACTCTCCCCTCGTAAGGGTACCTGTCGTGTTTCCATAGAGACATAAAGGTGAATATCTGTCTTATCTGTTTTCTTGAGAGTCTGGAAAGGATATCAATATATTGCCTTCCGTACGAATGTAATGATCTGAATTCTGTAAAGTATACTGTGGTCAGGTCTCTTTGCGGAGCTTCTGTTCTGTTCGTCTGGACTGGGTGGTTTTCTCCGATTGAGTGGCAAGTATCAAACACTGCTGTTCGGATCTGCAACTAAACATCACATATTGATCGAAGTACTTTTAAATCAGAAAATTAATATCATCATCATATGAAGTACATGGATGATGTTGAATCTGAGACATACCTGAATGATATTTTCATCGTCCGTAACTGGATTGCTACATATTAATCAAAATACATTCAAATCAGAAAATGAATATCATTTGATGAAGTACATGGATGTTGAATCTGAAACATTCCTGAAAAATATTTTCAACGTTTGTAACTGGATTGCTACATCCGCTGTCTTTCCGAATAGTGGTTCTTCCAGTAGGCATCTTTCACATTTTCAATTACGTGGGTTATATTGAGGACCTTGAAGGCCAAACAATATGCTGCTCGGATCTGAAACTAAGTATCAATTTCAAATTTGAATCATGAGACCTATATACAATATAAATATATGAAAAGTCTGGATATTGTTTTCAACATTCGTAACTGGAACGCGATATATTTTTATAATTCATCAATTCATCAACTATCTCAATGAAGACGAGGCAGGCAGATAAACAACAATTTTCTCTGCAATGAAGAACACTGTATATACCTAACCCACCATGCGCCTACCTCCTTTGCAGAGAGGGTTTATAAACGCCGAGTTGATACTCTCCCCTCGTAAGGGTACCTGTCGTGTTTCCATAGAGACATAAAGCTGGATATCTGTCTATCTGTCTGCTTGAGAATCTGGAAAGGTGACCAATATATCGCCTTCCGTACGAATATAATGATCTGAATTCTGTAAAGTATACTCTGGTCAGTTCTCTTTGCGGATCTTCTGTTCGGTCCGTATTTACTGTATGGTTTTCTCCGATTGAGTGGCAAGTATCAAACACTGCTTCTTCTTCTTCCATAAAAATCAATACTGATTTTCACGAGAGGCGGAACATGGATGTTGAATCTGAAACATACCTGAATAATATTGCCAACATTCTTAACGCGATATATTTTTGTAATTCATCAATTCACCAACTATCTCAATGAAGACGAGGTAGGCAGATAAACAACAGTTTTCTCTGCAATGATACTGCAAAAATAATCTTTCATTTCCACTCATGAAGCAACGTTGTCAAATCACCAATTATAATCAATTCATCCTGTCGTTGGATAAAACACGAGATAAAACATAATAAGAGTAAGCCATCATATTATAGATCATTCTTGACTTTGTTGAGCAACCAGCATGTCTGTATATCTCTTGTACCCTATAACAAAATATGAATGCTGAGAACTGACAAGGCACCGCCCACAATTCGTGCGCCGGGTTGTCACGTTTACCCTCAAATATCCTCTAGTGTGAATAAATATAATAATATTAATATTAACACAAATGTATTATAAACAATAAGCCACAACAGATAAGGGAATATTTTGAGACAATTGTTTTTTATGTCTAATTAGGAATATAACCAATACAAAATTGAGAAAGTTTTTACTCGCGGAAAATTTTTAGCCGTTTGAAAATTACCGTGGCATTATTGTTGATCTCAGCACATTAAAATCGAATGAAGAATTCTAAAAATACAGGGTCGCTGATATGTATGGAAACAGGTGAATATCTTAGTAACATGTTGTTGGATTTTTTTGAATTTATGTACAGTGTGATTTCAAAACGTGGCGGATTTGGAAATGTTATAGCCAATGTTGCCACTTTTTCAGTTATTCCGGATTTTTTATCAACTTCCTTATTTTGAATGAAACACCCAGAACTTTATTGAATTTTCAGATTCTCCTTGAAGAGCTGATTCCATCGATCTATCACACTTGGGGGTCTTGCGGGAATGATTACATAGGTATAGGGTTTTTAAAATCTAGATTTCTCAACTTTAGGATTTTTTGTGTCGAAACTATCCATTATCGATCGAAACCGCTCCAATGTCCCTATATTTTCTTTTGATTTACAATTTACTGACATTTAATTGGAACAAATACAGGGTGGTTCAAGATTCAGAATTCTGATCACCCTCTGTATCTGTTCCATTTAAATGTCAGTAGATAGTGAATCAAAAGTAAAGATAGGAATATTAGAGCGGTTTTGATCGATAACGAATAGTTTCGATACAAAAAAATCCGGAAGTTGAAAAATCTAGATTTTAAACACCCTATACCTATGTAATTATTCCCGCTAGACCCCAAGTGTGATGGATCGATGGAATCAGCTCTTCAAGGAGTATCTGAAAATACAATAAAGTACAGGGTGTTTTATTCAAAATGAGGAAGTTAATAAAATTCCGGAATAACTGAAAAAGTTGCAACATTGGCTATAACACTTTCAAATCCGCCACATTTTGAAATCACACTGCACATAAATTCAAAAAAATCCAACGACTGGTTACCGAGATATTCACATGTTTCCATACAAATCAGCGACCCTGTATATGAAATTGAAAATTATTCGAGTGATGATTCTATTTAAGAAATAAAAAAAATAGTCAACTCGTCAACTTCATTTTTGTGGATGGATCCATGGCTTTTAGCAAGCAGTGTATATCACTGAAGATGACTCCACTTGGTCATAGTATGTACTTTCATTATATCTATCTACTGTTCCTGCAAATTTCAGAATCCTAACTAAACAAATACGAAAGATACAGGGATGCTTCCATTAAAAGTGAGACACACTGTGCAATGGTCATCTTGAGTAAATTCTGATCTACATATCTCTTCATCTGAAGTTTCATCTTCAAATTGAGCCTGAGATTTTAAAAATCGGTTGGGAAAGGAAAAAGTTATGACTGCAAATCCTAAAAGTTAATTTTTCGATATCACTCCGTGTGTAAAAGGGATAATAAGACAATTCGAAAAATGTCTCAAGGTTATCTGCTGTCAAAGTTGAAAAAAAAAGTTTTCGTTCATTTGGGATCATTTTGGAAATTCAAAAATTTTTCAGTTTCAGGTGACATCTTGTAGCGAGTTCATATGAAGAACCTCATATTTTAAAGAAATACGAGCTTATAGCTGAAGGACTGGGATAGCGAACAGTGTGAACCAAATTCAAATTGTTCAAAGCAGAAAAAAAGTTATTCATATTTTAACAGGGGGTTAAAATTTTATGACTTATCACCTTATCCAGGAATGCGGGCTGGATATAAATATAATATACCATAGGAAATTATACAATTACAATTAGTACGGGGTATTTCGAGACAAATTTCCAATCTGAGTATATGGATAATAATAAGAATTTGACAATTCGTGTGTGACCATTTCAAAGAAATTTTGACGACTTCGAAAATGTCTCTGTGAAAATGGGCTTATATCACAAAAAAATATTATTTCATAATTCGATAGAACTCACCCAAACTAGCTCACCACCGCAAACCGTTTCTTGCTGTGAGCTCCCTACGTTTTATAAAATATTATTGAAATCCCCGATTTTTCGGACCTCTGAAAACGAGGCGATGATGTGACGTCAAAACCCTAATACTGAAACAAGACTATTCCAGACAGAGATGAATGATACATGATTTCTGACAGAGTGAATTAGTGCTAGATCACAGTTGAAAGAATTAATATATCAGTTGCCTCAGCCTCCGTCGGGCGTTTGGTATTTTCTTTTAACTATGGCGAGATGAGGTTTCTACGTCATATATAGGGTCCGTTTTCAGAAGGTACTATTATTTATGTCCAAAAATAAAACATTCCAGTTAATTTTTCGATCGAATTATGTCGTCAATCATTATTTATGTATAAAAGGATCATCATAAACATGGTTTGAGTTAAAAGTTCTACTAAGGTGTACAGGCCCATTGGCAGTTGCGGTACCTAGCCTAGCACAGTCAGCGATACGGGTTTTTTTCTAATCGCATACATTTCTCACAAAAAATACGTATATGTATATGAAAATGAATCAAAGGAGTACTCAAAGATTTCTAGATGTATCGAGTGGTATCGGCTCAAAATACCTATCAGATTATACTATCACTCATAATAAAAAAATTAAAAAAAACTCACAGCACAAAACACCAAACCAACACACGATCGCGATACGAATTATTGTATGAGGAATACAAAAACACATTACTATCACTCATTTTCTAGGGAACACTCCGTTTGGAACGATAAGTAATTCCTTTCGCGTATTTTTCAACGCGATCACAACGTGACCGTACGTGATGACATCTAATATAAAACTGTCTTGATTTACCACCTGGTCCCGAATGAATGACTAATGAGTTGAATCATACTGCTAACCGATTAATTTCCGAACAAATGATTTATCTATGACTAATGATGATAATTGAATTATCGATCCGTCATCCTGAATTTTACAATTTTCACGAAACAATCATTATCTTCTACCCCGAAAACCCCCAGATACCAATTTTGAATAGAATCGGATCATAATTACAAAACTCGATCCCCATATGATCTTCCTCAACAAGTAAATACCCTGTACATACCTATTATTAAAATTTTGAATGATTTTCTGTAGCGCCCATGGACGTGACGTGACAGCAATGTCAGGGATGCCAGTAGACAAAACTAGTCTCTAGATCATTAAAAAAGAATGCAGCTATGATCTGTCCGTACCCTGTTAGTCTCGAGAGTTAATGATCAGTGATTCCCATTTTTTACAATGAAGTGTTTTTATAGGCGAAAACAACAAAGCAATTTACGTCATTCTTGTTTTTTGGTTTCAGTTTACTCATGGAAGTGATTTCATAGATTCATATGGCAATAACAATTCACATCATACTCGTTTGTCGGTCTCAATTAGCGCATTCTTGGAGATCCCAATTTCAAGGTTGACCTAGAGTCATTGAAATGAATATTAAGTATCTTAAATTTGCCGACAATCGATGTTTCCTTAACGGGTATGAATCCCATTTTCAATTTCAATATTTTTCTTAGACAGTATTTCGCGGGGCATAATGACTTGTTTTCCATCATTGACGTAGGAATCGATCAAGAGTGCCTTGAAGCAGGTTTGCACCCATCTGCCCAACAACTTGGTGGCGGAATGCTCCGATCTGGTAGACGCTTACAGCAAGGAATTGGTGGAACTGTTGATGGCCGATCTGAAGCCAGATGAAGTTTGCGTATATTTGAAATTGTGCAAGGACGAGCAGCCGGCCGATCCGCTGCCCCCGTACGTTTTCAGGCTTACCGCAGGGAATATCGGTGAGTCAAAACCTCAAATTGAATAACAATAGATAGATACTGCAAGTTATCCAGTCAGTTCAAACATCCTAGGTTACAAAAATTCGCAGCCAGCTAAACATTTGTAGAATTGTTCATAACACCATCATAAATGAAATCTAAAAGGTCCTCATCGATCCGATACCTGGAAAAAAATTACTCGGGGTCAAAGGTCACAAAAACGGGGTTTCGCGATTTCAGCAAAATGGTGGTTTAAATTGAAGATCATATAATTATTTATAAAAAATGTTCAATTACTTTTATTCCTAAGAGCCACTGTTTTTGAGATATAACGATTCAAAAAGTTCAAATAGTTGTAAACGTCATAATATGCACACGTTTCCACGCCAACATGGAGGTAGTGGACTTAATATGTAATTACAGGTTCCAGTAAAGTACTTTCAAGTTTAGATACTCACCTATTATGTACCTACCTATACCTATGACCTATGAGGTATTTTTAACTGGGCTACATTATGTTAGCACCAGTTCTCTTTCTCTTGTAGACACAGTTGCCAGATTAACAATAAAATTTTCCGGGAAAGAGTGCTTGAGATATAATAACACTGTTCAATTTGTTGATTATAACAATTTATTAACGAAATTTCAACATAACTAAAACCAAACTGAGTATATAAAAAGCGCCATGTTGTTAGATGACTGCATCCCATTTTATTCTAGCTAATCTTCAAACTAATGGAATTCTTTTAGAGTTCAGAGTAAATTGAACGTGATCAGCAGTGAATTCCCAATCAATTAATCACATAAGTTAGGTTAGGTTAGTTTCCACGTGAGTGGGTCGAATACCACCTCTAATCCAGATGGGCCTATTGTGGCTCATCCCTAGAGGTTACAGTTCACTGTACAATCCACTTCTTTTTACAAAGTCCATGGTTGAATGAGGTGAGATTTTTCTAAAATCGATAGGTTCTAAATTGGTAAAGCCAAATTAGAACCTATCGATCACCTACTACATTGTAATTTCGAATCATTGCATTCCTTGGACATAGGATCAATTCAAGGATTTTATAGAGATCTGGCAACATCGGAGTGACACTGACATCACAGCTCAGTAGCGTTAGAATTCATGATTATTTAAATAGCATTTTCAATATAAAATAATTTATTTGTTGATCGATTTTCTCGATAAATATGTGGTTAGGATAACGTTTTCGCCATCCCTTCATAACATTATAGCGAAAAAGGGTGAAATTTTACGATACTGGAAAGGCCCATTATCTTAATTTTCAGTTAACATCGTTATGGATTTTTTTTTATTTTTGTTTGAAATTTTCATTCATTTACCATCTAATCACCTCTATATTTTTTGCAGAAACCAATGTCATACCTGACAACACCATCAATGGGCAAGTTGTTGGATCAGATGATGGTATTAGCCAACAAAAGCCTACTTGTGTCATCTGCGAATTTATTATGAAAGAAATTGAAGATCAACTGAAAGATAAAAAAACCGACGTAAGTCCATTCAACAAAATGAAAAATTAAATCAATATACTCAATCATTTTTATATTGCAAAAATATTGTTAGCATCGAATTTCATAGATGAAGTTCACAATTTTTCAAAGCTTAACTCCATTGTCATTAACAAACGTCATCCTTATCAGGTACGTGCCTAAGCAATTCCATCAATCTCTGAAGAGTTTATGTGTGTTGGATTCTAAATTATTACGTTAGAAATGGGATTTTTCGCTCTTTCAATCCGTCTTGGAGTGATTCGCATATTTGTATTCCATCAAGCCCAACTTTTTTTTCGTCGATACAAGTATCGACCAATATTTTTTCATTGGATGCACGGTGCATAGGGCATTTCTTAAACATCTTCAATTCAGGGTCAATGCCAATTTTAAAGTAGCCGTTTTCTTTTGTTTAGGCAGACATTGAGCAAATAGTGAGGCATATCTGCAACATAATGCCAAAGTCGATCAAAACACAGTGTAATGGTTTCATAGATGACTATGCAGATACAATCATTCAGGCATTGATTGCTGCTTTGGAACCCTCAGAAATTTGCAGCATGATGAAATTGTGTACCAGTCAGTTTGAAACGATCAGAGGTAAGTCTTGAATTCAGGCACTTGTTAGTAACATTTGTCTTTTTTGCATTTATCCATCATCGTTGACAATGAAGGTAATCTCACTTCAAGTTGATAAACCTAATGGGGGAGACCACTGATTTTTTTTAAACGACATTATCGTGAACTCTATACTGAAAAACTACCAGTGAATTAATTTTGAATTTTTTCATTCATGCTAAGACGGTGAAAAAAATAAATTGGAATGAGTCAATTTCAAAACACACAATTCCTGCGCCATTTGAAATTTTGTCAATTCATCGGTGTGACTGGTGCGACGTCTTAGTCCTAACACGCCGATTGTCTTTGAAATGACCAATCACACTGCAACACTGCAGAATGGCAAGGTATCAGAGAGAGATAGCTACAGTTCGGGACTAATACGTCACGGCTCCACCATCATATTTGGCTTTGTGAAATATCAAATGGAATATGCTGATTTCAAATAGAATATAGATTCGATTCCGATTGTACATAAAACGTAAATCATGAATCGTCGATTGAAAGAGGTTTGCACGGATTTCTTCCCTCAGTGGTCTTCCCCATTGTCAAAACATTAACAGCATATGCTACGTTGATATTGCCTCTAATAAATTGAATGAGAATCATGCAGATGATTTCTAAATTGTTATCATTTCGAAAACGGTTAAGTTTTGGTATCAATAAAAAGTAAAACTTATTTTTGTTAAAATGATGTGTTCTCAATATAACTTGTTTCATCTTGACGCCGCTAGCTCCATAATCGGACAAAAAAGATTCACTCATTCAGCCTTAAGTGAATTCAATAAACTACCTGACAATATAAAAAAATGCAGAAATATAGGTACATTCAAAAATGGAGTAAAAAAACTGATTATTTCTGAGCGAACTGGATAAAATTAATCATGCCATTTTTTCTTTTTAATTATTCTTTGTTTGCCAATTTACAATTGTTGATATATTTTGAATGATCATATATTTACCTATAGGTATATAATTATGTACTTCCTTATACCAGAGCCTATTCTGTCTGGAAGTTATTTGTTCAATAAATAAATAAATAAATATCAATATCGTTCGTTCAATATTACTTGATGAAAATGACGAAGAAACTAAACAACCAAAGAGCTCTGTAACTTTTTTGAATAATTATTGAAATTCACGATATTTCATAATATGACAATGTAGTTTTTTGCCTTTTTTTGTATTTCTGGGAACTTAGGCATTACGCTGTTGCCCGTGCCACAAAATAATCTGGGATTAAATAAAATCTCGAGCATTATTAGGATTTCGCGATAAAAAATGCCACGTCGCCTCACCCGAAGGCAGCCACTTGAGCACTTCTGAGCGGTTTGCTTTGATGATATGACCAATTAGTACAAACAAAAAACGAATGTGAACCAATGAAAACAAAGTATACATGTCGCTTTGACTGCTTTCAAGAACTCCGATAGGTGGCGTACGCTTATTTTCTATCGCGAATACTAGGATATTTTTATTGTCTTCTGTTCCACTTCTTTTTCCTATACCTGGCACTGGCGCGGTGTTTGCTATTAGGGCTGACATCTGGTCGAAATGAATTCATAGATTCAATAGAATACACATATGGATCACTCTGTGGATGTATTTATATTGAAACTACAATTCGAACATCCTTGAAAATCGAATAAGCCTGATCTGTAAATGCTGGTAAAATGCAGGTAGAATATTCTCACCACACGGATATGTTGCATTGCATATTGTATATGACACGGCATCCACGTTTCGGCTATAGTATTGAATTCGTGCATGTAGTATCTGATGACGACATGATGAATGTCAACACAAATTGCAATAAAGTAAAGCAGTCTGAGGTCTTGCTTCTATCTTCTTACTCATATTATTATAATGATCTGTCAAGAAAGTCACATTGGTGGTTACTTCACATATTTATTTTAGTTAATTCTTCGGTTGCAGAAAAAATAGCATGTTTCATTCGGATACTTTTGATCCTAATGAAACAATCACCTATTATACACGGAATGATCAATATAAAATAGGTATGTGGCGTAAATTCGACTAGTGTGTACAACCTCATTCTTTGATAACTGTCCAAGTAGAATTAATCTCATTCTGAATTGTATAGAACATGTTATGCCTTTATTTTCAGTTGAAATTTTGGAATGCCCCATCTGTCAAATGACCGTCGAAGCAATGAAGAAGATCCTCGCAAATCCCAAAGTTGACCATGACATTGAACATGTCTTGGAAAAAACTTGCAGGGGATTGCCCCACCAATACAGAAACAAAGTGAGCATGAAAAAATAATTGTAGAATTGTGAGCCCTAGTTGATTTTTATTCGTAGTGATTAACATTGTTAGTAGTGTATATAGCATTTTGCTACTAAATAGATGGTATGTTGGTCACTTAGGCTGTGTAAAGTCAGTCGTTCAACCACAGTAGTGATACCAGAATGGTCAATGTTTGACTCGACTCCCATTGAAAGTTAACGTGGTAGGCAGGTTCGAAACGTGACCGATATTTCCAAACAGCTGGTTGGTCAGACCATTTGTCTGCTAAGTATGGAGAAAAAATCTAGTGAGTTGTAACTACTGGTCTGCTCTATAGCTCAGTTGAGTGTATGACCACCAGAGGATGTTGCCGTATCGGACGAGATGATCTTCACTTTTTTCTAAAAAAATCTTCAATTCTCATTGTTCTAATATTCCTTTCGTTAATAGATATAGTTTTGTGTTGTGCTCCCAGTATTGAAGTAGTTTATTCTGATTGATAATTTGTTACAAAACATTGTCTCTCAATTTTTCCTACCAGAAAGTGTGAAACCGTCTCTATTAATGTATTTCCTAGTGATATTTCTTTGCGACATAAGTGGATACATTCGATATTGAGTGTTCAGGCTCATTACAAGTAAGATAATCAGAGCCCTGATCAAAAGCTAATTATCGATACTACTGATTCTACCTCTCATTTAATTCAGGTGTTGAACATCACGAAATTGGGGACTATTGTAGTGTCGGTATCAACCATTTTGAGAAGAAATGATTTTTTTAATTTTCGAGTTACTGAGTGACTATGTCGTGATACTGAACTCAAACTCACTGAACAAACTGCGCCGCCGGCCGAGACTGCCGAGAGCACCGCTGAGGGAGCTGCTCAACTCGTTTACGATTTTCAAGGTTATGTAGGTTTGACAGGAAAACAATTGAAATAAGTGTTCCTCGAGTTGACCGTATGGCGGCAATACTGTATCGGCCACAGAAACCTGTAGGTGATTTTCCTTGTTTGAGCAGACCAGATACTACAGCTCACTAGATTTTGTCTCTCCATATTTAGCAGACAATGGTCAGACTGATGGTCAGACTTCAAACTGAACGTATGTGCCCGGTCAAACCACAGACTTGACACAGCCTTACACTTTGTTTTATGCAGCGTGTCCCTCAAAGGTCTGTACAAAATCTTAGCACCTAGTCCCAAGGCCGAATTACGCCGATTTAAAGGAACTTCAAATTGCTTCGTTTCCGTGATACAGGGTGGTGAATTTAAAGAATAAAAATCGACAAGTACACTCCAAAAAAGTATTTCGAAAAATCCATTTTTGCACTGCTCATTCACCGAGCAGATAACAGCAAACATTCTTTATTCAAAAACCGAAATATCTGAAAAAAGTAAAAAACTACACTGAGAAAAAAGTTATGGCCATTCTAAACCACAAGAAGCGCATTGGTGAGCGGCATCTAATGACCACAGTAAAACAGAGGTAAGTTGCTTTAAATAGGATTATTTTGAACTTAGGAATATATTCTGAGATTTTGTACAGACCCTGTATTGCACCAAGTAGTTTATAGCACTTGAATATTTCACAGGTTTTTACGGAATAGAGTGATCCACTACTGGATGCTTATTATTTTTTATTGATTCTTAATGTTTTATGTATGAACTGTGATTTTGTTTTTCGTTTTTCTGGTAAGTAAATGTATGTTTAAGGGTGGTGATTGGTTTAACTTTGTTGTCGGTGATTTGAATTTTAACTTTGATAACCCATTTATGGAGTGCATGGTAAAAGATATTCGGAATTCATCTTTCAAACTTTGGTAGAAATCCATATTGCTCAAAGTGGGGTGAAATTTTTCAAAGGAAGAAAGAAACGCTCGTAGCCATCTCCACAAAATTTAATGGTGTTGTTACACATAAGGGACATGTTTCGGTCTTATAAAAGACCATCTTCAGCCTAATTGAAAGTTCTACAATACAAAAAGATAGATGTGAAAGAATTACATAATTTTTTCTTGGCTAACTTGGAGTTCGAAAAAACACAATTTCACAACTAGTAGCATTACATTTTTTCAACTATAAGTAAGTCAAGAACAAATTATGCAATTCTTTCACATCAATCTTTTCGTGTTGTAGAACTTTCAATTAGGCTGAAGATGGTCTTTTTCAAGACCGAAACATGTCCCTTATGATTGTGTAACAAAACCATTGAAATTTGTGGAGATGACTTCGAGAATTCCTTTCATCTTTCAAGTTTTAAAATCAATCAATGGGATTAATGCTGACCTGATGTTGAGGGAAATATTTTTCAGTCACAAATCTTGGGAAAAAATATTTTAAAGTTATTCACAATTTGAATGTATTGGCTTTCAGGTAACTTAATACCATTGTTTTGTTTACTTCCGTTCTCTCGAAACTGGCTACATAAGTTCATATAATTAAACAATTTTGACTGAATCATCATTTTAAAAACATTGAGTAACGTCATTACAGGCTGCAAAGTATAAAGCCACTGGTCTCTTGTACCACCCTATATAAACACTAGACTACTATTTTTACATACATTGCTTTCATAAATATGGCATCGCACTTCGCACTATAGTAATAATTGCTTTCGGTTTCATTTATCACTATTGGTATCACATTTCAAACATTCATTTGTAATCTTTTTCATTTTCTTGCAGTGTGTCGGTATCATCAACGAATATGGGGATGTGATGATAAATTTGTTACTTGCTTACACTGAAGAAGATAAAGTATGCAAGAAGATAGGTTATTGCAAGTCTACACTGTCCAATCTAATGTTGGACTGAGCAATAATTGATATCTTGCAAAAATAATAATTAGGTGAGTGTATCTAGATTGAATTTTCAATAAGTTCAAAGTTTTACAAAATATGATGTTAATTGGTTTTAATTTTTTTTTCAGGATTAGAAAACTGCTGACGGTTTTTTGTTTTGATTTTTTCTCAAAATACTATTTACCAAAGTTCAGAGTGGCTGAGATTTACTTTTACTTGTCTTTCTAGATTTAGATCTACTCACAGTTTAATTAGGAAATCATTAACCAGATAAGGGATTCGCCATGATTGTAATGTAAACCGGAACTGTGATAAGACATATTATCTTTATGTATTCTATTGAGTGAATAATAAAATTTGGATTTCTATTTTCTTTTTCTTTTGCATTATTCATTACATAATTTCACTGAATAACTGGACTGTCTTTTTGAGGTTTTGACAGTCAAAGATTGTGAAAAATATTTAATCTTTCATTTCATGGAGGGGATGGGCATTCGTCATAGAAAAAATGAATGTTTTGTAGCGTGTGAGGTATCATATGAAAGAACTCTATTTAGGGGTTACAAAAATATGTTTTCCAACGTTTTGTGACGGATACTGAAGTTTTAATTTCTATATTATGAGGGTATGGGGTAAATAAGTAACAAGTCATAAATATGAGGAAACAACTTCGTCGGTGTCACTAATTTAGTGCCTCCATGCATACAGCAAAATTAGCTAAGTTGAATGAATGAATGAATTGAATGAATAAATGAATTGAATGAATGAATTTATTACCTTCCAAAAAACATAAAAATGCCATCTAGGAACACCTCTCTTACTAGTTACAAGTCATTATAGTTTCACAAATTACATAATATCGGACATAATAATTAGATTACTGATTCAAACCTGTAGCAATTTAGTGAATATACCCTAATAATATATGGGTAACCTATTTTACTGAACTATAAAATATGCTAAGTATCTAATTGTTTTCCTTTTAAATCCAACCTCCTAATCTCCTAATACTAACTGTATAAATCTTAACTTCAGTGGAATGTGAGATTTCAACAAAGCTTTGATTTTTTTGCCTTTTTCATATCTAATGGTATTTTGTTGTAATCTATGGTTGTACTCTGTAACTTCTTTATAAAATATTGAACTGATTCCATAGTTCGTCATTACTCTTGGGACTTGAAAATGTCAACAGTTTCGAGTATTATATCCGTGAATTTCCTATTTACTATCTGATGTATGAATACATTGACTTGAAAAGTATATAAACTTTCCACGGATCTATTATTGTAATATTCATATAGATTCAAAGCTGAATATCTTGATGGCAGGTTATATAAGTTTCTAATTGATTTGTTTTGCAGGATTTTAAGTGGTTTTAAATAACTCATATGTATTACTCCAAATTATTGTCAGGTTTTGCAAATGAGAATATATTAGGGAAAAATACACAGATCTGTAATATCAAGGACTTATAGAATAATCACATTGTATAATTAGATCAGTCCTCACAGTGTATATATGAAAGAACTAGTTTCCATGGAGAAGAAAATAATATTAGTCTTGTAATATATCAGAAGAACTCGACTTGTATTTCTATATATTGATAATTATATCAATCTGATTACATAAATTTTTTGTTTTTACGTTTCAATTCATCCAAAGGTCGAACAATCTTACCATACTCTTTGATAAAACATCTGAACTGATTTGTGAGACCAGTGAAACATTGCAAAGATTTCAGATCATGAGGTCTTCTCATCGATTTAACTTTTTCTACTATCTCATTCTTCATTCTTTTTACATCACCGTCTATCTCACGGCCAAGAAAAACTACTTTTTCCACACAAAATTTACATTTTTTCAGATTAATCTTCATATTACTTTCGTGCAACTTTTTCAATATTTCTTCGCTCAGTATAGCACATTCATCGTAGGTGTATCCGCCACACATAATATCGTCAATAAATACAACCACCTTTTTTGTCAGCAAGTCCCCAAGAATATCCTGCATTACACGTTGAAATTTTGCGCTAGAGTTTTTCCAACCAAATGGAAGGCGAGTGAATTGGTAATGTCCTTCTTCTGTGACAAATGCAGTGTACTTTCTTGTATCTTCAGAAATACTAACGTTCCAAAAGCCATCCTTCAAATCTAGTTTTGTAAAGAAGTTGCATCCACCGAATTTCTCGATAATTTCATCTGCCATAGGAAATGGAAAGGGATCCAGCTCAGTTTCATTGTTGATTTTCCTGTAGTCCATACATAAGCGAAAACTACCATCACTTTTCGTCTTCATGACACACGGCGAAGCATATGGTGAATTTGACTTTTCAATTATACCAATTTCAAGTAATTCACTTATTTTATTTCTAATCCATTCCCTTTTATTAATTGGATATCGATAAGGCCTCAATTTTACAACCTCTGGGTCAGATTTCAAACTGAAATCAACCTGGTATATAGATGGAGTTTTGTCATGATAATTCAATAGATTTGGAAATCTTTCTGCAATAATTTTTTCATTTAATTCTGAAGGTGTATCTCGGCAATTTAAATTCCTATTAAAAATGTTCAGTTGATTCAGGGTTTCCCGCCCCAAGATGATTCCAAAACATATTTTTTTTATTATAAAAGGCTTAATCAAAATGTTTTCGCCTTTCAGATTTATCTTAAGTTCAGATCTGTAGTAACATTTAGTAACACCTGCCAAACTTCTAATAGAAATGTTTGCTTCATATCTAGGAAATCCGTTTTTCAAAACCAATTCTTCGTTAATTAGATCCAAATCTGATCCAGTATCAAATAACACTTTTACCATATCGTTATTGACTTTCAGGTATTCAAAATTTTGCTTGTTGATATCATCATGAACAGAATAACTCATGTAGATTTCAGTATCATTTACTTCAGTTTCCAAAACATTGCAGGATTTATCTTCAACACTCCTATTTTTATCTTGGTATCCGGAAATGGAAGACTGGTCACCCTTCTTATCCCAATAATTAGGTTTTTTATCGAATCTTGAGTTTCCAAAGCTTCCTGCATTTCTATGAAAATTCCCCTTTTGCCTTTCTTGATTAGAAGTTGCTGATGTCATCTCCACTTTCAAGAACTTTAAAGACTGCAAAAGTTCTTGTTTAGATTTTATTATCTTTCCACTTAATTGATTTCGTATATGAGTTGGTAGTCCTAGAATGATGAGTGCAATCATTGATTTTTCTGACAACTTTTCATCGGCCCATACTAAAAATTTCTGTTTCTCGTAAAAGTATTCAACGATATTCCCATTAGAATAAGTGTGGGACAAGGCCTTTTCCCATTTCACAATGAATGTTTCATCGAAGGTATCAATCAAGTTTAGTCTCCAATCATCCCAGGTAAGCATCTGTAATCCAGAATGGATCCTGTCTTCATACCAACTGGAGGCTATGCCTGTTAAGAATCTTCTCAGATGGAATATCTTATCTGCATTGGTATTCCAATTCTTCGATAAACACATGAACTCGTAAGAATTCAGCCAAGTATTAGGATTTTCTCCAACACCATCGAATTTTGATATCTCTGTATTATTCAAATTTTGATTTGCAATTGACATCCACTTTGACATGAGATTATCCAATTCAGATTTTCCGAATATAATTCTGTCTTGGACATCTCCTGCTCCAACTTGGTCATAATTGACCTGTATAGGTATTTCTGTAAGTCCTTGGTTTTGATCCGACTGCGCCATATGTAATCAGATTGATATAATTATCAATATATAGAAATACAAGTCGAGTTCTTCTGATATATTACAAGACTAATATTATTTTCTTCTCCATGGAAACTAGTTCTTTCATATATACACTGTGAGGACTGATCTAATTATACAATGTGATTATTCTATAAGTCCTTGATATTACAAGATCTCAGAATGTAACTTGGGACAGAGTAGCTTAATCTTCTCAGAATACTCACTAGACCAACAATTTTTTTCTAATATGTTCTAGATGTGCTTGCCGGGATAGTTTTGTATCAATTATCAGTCCCAAGAACTTGATTTCATTTATATATTGAACCACTTTTACAAGTTATTTCATTCATTGTTGAATCATCAGCATATAGTATGACATCTCCAATAATTTCCAGGTTTGCTATAGAATTTATGTATATTAAGAAGAGAGTGGGGCCCAGGATCGAGCCTTGTGGTACACCACATTTCAAATTTGTGTGATCACTTTTACATTCTTTTAGATAAGTAAATTGCATTCTATTGAAACCAACTGCTACAGTGACCCTGGACACCAATCAACTCCTTTTTTCCATCAGAATTTCATAGTTCACCGTATCAAAAGCCTGACATAGATCAAGGGATACAAGAGTACATTTTAGTTTCTCGTCAACTTTCATCTGTAATTTTGATATAAGGTTTACAACTGCACTACTAGTATCGCTCGACCTGAGAAAGCCATATTGGGAGGGTGTCAAAATCTTATTCATATATAGAAGTTTCTGACACCCTCTGACAGTGAGAAAAAAAATCATATCAATTAACTTTCTTCTTTTCTCTCAGCTAAATGTTATGATTGTGTTTCTGTTAATCATATTATGTAGGTATATTAGAAATCACTTATTTCTCAAAAACTCCACTAGATTGAGAGAATCGGAATTCCTATCATCTTAATATTCCTCTATCAATCAGGCCAATATCTCTTCTATAAGAAGGAAAGTTGAACTGAGCTCGACTCTACACATACTGAGCGGCTAGCTGTATATATTTTTTTCATCAAACATTTTCAAAATATTTCAATCCCTTTGATATATCGAAATACCTATGATGTAGGTACTGAAACATCGTGATGAGTTTTTCCTTGCAAATAATCTAGATATGGATGCATTCTCATATCTTGTCACAATCTAGGACAGGATCAACCAATGTTTCTAAATCCTTATTAGTTTCTACAGGCTGTTGCAGTATCAAGCTTTCGTGAGCACCAAGTATCCAATCCATTAACGTATTAAAATCTTAAATCAACAAGCATTTGTTTTCAGTGCAAAAAAATGATAGAAAAACATGGAAAACAGATGATTGATCTTTTGATTAAACATGCAAGTGTACATAAAATCTGTAAAGAGATGGAATTCTGTTCCACACGATTTGAAGAAAGCCACCTAGTAGGAGTAGACCACTGCACCTATGGACCTTCATATTGGTGTGAGAGTGAAGAGAATGCAGAGGAGTGTGATGTGAGTACCTACCGAGGTTGCCTAGCTAAATGAGAATTCCTGGTAAAGTTAAGCTGTCCTACAATGTAAAGTTCCAAAATGTACTTGACACTGCTGTTTTGACGTTTTTTGTGTACTATTGACAAGCACTGACAATCAGACATAACCACAAATAAATTGATGGAAAAAGCGGGAACTGACCGTACACGGACGTACATGACATAAATTCCAAAGGTTTAACAAATTGAGAGAATTAGAAGTTCGGATCGGATAACGTAATTCTACAAAAATTGAAACAGAATATGATGCGGTCGTCATGGAAATTGGTTCAGGCCAAAAAATGCAAGAGGTATTCAAATTTCTTGGTTGGGATATGGAACATTTTTCAACGAATTTTTATCAGGTTCATCTCAGAACGGAAGATTTCATGTTGAAGAATAGGATCGTATTGAGAGAAAGAACAGCCGAACCCACAATTTATAAACTGAGCGAGTATTGAAAAGAACCTTATTTCAATTCAGAACCAACAAGAAACGAAAAACTTGCAGATGATGAAATTCATTTCGAACATATTTTGAAAGAAAAAGACTTGGGAATCGAATTTTTAGAGCAGTAATATTCAAAAATCCAAGGTTTGAGAGTGGAAGAGAGTGAAGAATTCAGGAAACGAATAGAACGAAAAAATAGAAAGTTGGATAATTAGTTAAATCAAAAAAATTTAGATACAAAAGTCAGAGTTAGCAAAATTCAGAACTATTACCTAAAAATTATTTCAGATTTGAAACAAAATCAGCAAATATATTTAGAGAAATACAAGAAAATTGAACAAGCAAATACCCAGGCAATTTTGAGCAGAATTCATAGTTTCGATGACCGAAACTATGAAAAACTTTTGCATTTTGAAAACCAACAATCCCCTATAGCAGTGTGAACGGCGATCTATAGTGAGTCGAGCGCTGAAGTCCATTAATACCTACTTTCGTATGTCTTGGAGAACCTTTATTATTTATCCTAACTGAAATCAGCTCTTATTGTTGCCGTACCATTTGTTCATTTTTTAATTACTCATTACCTACCACTCTTGTACAAGTGAATTTGTTCCATACGAAATAAAAGTATGTTTCATTGGTTGAAATTTAGCAGTTTTTCCCCATTCTGAACATTTTTGATATAAAAATATTTAACTGAACGTATATATTATATACCTACATATAAGAGACTTATTTCATAGGAATAGTATATGTATTTCGTTGGTATATATGTACATACCAACTTGAAATCGACCTCCATTGAGGTCCTTCAGTCTCATCATTCAATATTTCGAGAAGAAATGATGTTCTTATCAATTTATCGTACCCTTTTACCCACTCGAGGAGACGCTATGCACATTGTTCACAAAAATCAGAGACAGAGAAAGATATATGGATGTACTCTTCCCAGGACTTGTGAAGAAAGGAAGATGCGAGGATCCTTTATCCAGGCGAAAAACATATTCGTGTCCTTGTCTGGCAAAACATATGATCTGCTTCAAAATCGTTTGTGGTTATGTTTGATTGTCACTGCTTGTCAAGTGTCCGTGTATATACAGAAACGTCAAAACAGCAGTGTCAAGTACATTTAGGAACTCAACTACAATGTAGTCAGATTAATTTATGTAATTTACTTTGTAGGCAAGGCAACATTGCGAAACAAAAGTGTGGAATAGCAAAACAAAAAGGGAACTACTAGGAGCAAATCCTTGCACTAGAGGACCTGCATATTGGTGTGATTCTGAAGAAAACGCCAACAAATGCAATGTAAGTTGTAATGTTCATGTTGATAGCAGGAAAGCCCAAGCAGGGATTTCGGGATTTACTCGAGCGCGGCAGATTAACATAAGAGGGGTATCCTTGGACCTTGTGAAGTACTCCCACCATATCTGGGCCCTTTATATGGTGTCGAAAGTTTAGGGCAGCCGATCAGATTAGAAAAAAAAATCGACCGTCAGAAATACTCGAGTCAGATTAAGACATGCTACGTTAATCACATGCAGAAAAGTATGCATTTCAATAATCTGACGATTTGATCGTCACATAAGGAAATGGGAGAGCCACAAAGTTGCAAAAAAAATCGTCATCTGTACATTCTTGAGCTGGAACCTTGGCATTTTTGTAGAGAAAAGTGTATTGAATTCAGTGCAGTATATGAAATATATATATTGATATATATATAAATATGCTATATAAGAAAAAGTATAACTTTGATACACGACGCTTTTTTCAGTAACCCTGTATAACGCAAAATCTCTCAGAAATGTACTGCTCATGAGACTAGACCATCTCAAGAATGTTTTTTCATCTATCTGAAACTTTGCCACACTATTGGTCCACCCTGTATGTCTACATGAGTCTTCCATCTCAAAATTGTGAATTCTTCGAGGTGTTGAAGTCCTGCTACAAAAAACTGACCCACCCTGTATATTTGATATTTTAGTTATTACATTCCGTTTACAAAAAAAAATCCAACCGTCATATTGAAGTTATTCTTCTACATATTTGTCAGATTATGGGTCTATACGACAAGGACATTAAGAAGAAGCGTCTGTATAATAATCTGACGCGCTCGAGTATTTCCAGTCTTTTTTTTTTTTCATTTTCCAAAATTGTTCAAGACTTTTGGTCGCGTCCAAATCGTCAGTATTTTGAATAGGAGCTACTTGACGGTTCACTTAACGTCCCTTCTCAATATCTGTCGCACTCGAATAATTTTTTTTTACCTATTCTCTATCCCTTCGTACGGTCACCCCCACCATGAAAACCGGCAGATTTATATTTTATTTTCTATTCATTTGTAGGCTAGAGCTCATTGTGAATCAAAAGTGTGGAACCAGCACCGATCAAAAAGGGAACTATTAGTAGGATCGAATCCTTGTACTAGAGGTCCCGCTCATTGGTGCGCATCTGAAGGAAATGCCAACAAATGCGATGTATGTTATTTTCATGTTATTGTTAATTTAAATTATATTTTACATTCATTTCCAGGCCAGATCCTATTGTGAATCAAAGGTGTGGAACCAGCAGAGATCAAAAAGAGAACTATTAGTAGGATCTAATCCTTGCACTAGAGGACCTGCATATTGGTGTGCATCTGAAGAAAATGCCAACAAATGCAATGTATGTTGTTATTTTCATGTTGATGTTAATTTAAACCATTTTAAACTATATTTTACATTAATTTCCAGGCCAGATCCCATTGTGAATCCAGGGTGTGGAACCAACAGAGATCAAAACGGGGACTACTAGGATCTAATCCTTGCACTAGAGGACCTGCATATTGGTGTGAATCTGAAGAAAATGCCAACAAATGCAATGTAAGTTGTTATGTTCATGATGAGGGCAATTTAAAATAGATTTTATATTAATTTGCAGGCTAGAGCTCATTGTGAATCCAAAGTGTGGAACCAGCAGAGATCAAAAAGGGAACTATTAGTAGGATCTAATCCTTGCACTAGAGGTCCCGCTTATTGGTGTGCATCTGAAGAAAATGCCAACAAATGCAATGTATGTTGTTATTTTCATGTTGATGTTAATTTAAACTATATTTTACATTAATTTCCAGGCCAGATCCCATTGTGAATCAAGGGTATGGAACCAGCAGAGATCAAAACGGGGACTACTAGGATCTAATCCTTGCACTAGAGGACCTGCATATTGGTGTGAATCTGAAGAAAATGCCAACAAATGCAATGTAAGTTATGTTCATGATGAGGGCAATTTGAAATCGATTCTATATTAATTTGCAGGCTAGAGCTCATTGTGAATCCAAAGTGTGGAACCAGCAGAGATCAAAAAGGGAACTATTAGTAGGATCTAATCCTTGCACTAGAGGTCCCGCTTATTGGTGTGCATCTGAAGAAAATGCCAACAAATGCAATGTATGTTGTTATTTTCATGTTAATGTTAATTTAAACTATATTTTACATTAATTTCCAGGCCAGATCCCATTGTGAATCAAGGGTGTGGAACCAGCAGAGATCAAAACGGGGACTACTAGGATCAAATCCTTGCACTAGAGGACCTGCATATTGGTGTGAATCTGAAGAAAATGCCAACAAATGCAATGTAAGTTGTTATGTTCATGATGAGGGCAATTTAAAATAGATTTTATATTAATTTGCAGGCTAGAGCTCATTGTGAATCCAAAGTTTGGAACCAGCAGAGATCAAAAAGGGAACTATTAGTAGGATCTAATCCTTGCACTAGAGGTCCCGCTCATTGGTGCGCATCTGAAGGAAATGCCAACAAATGCGATGTATGTTGTTATTTTCATGTTAATGTTAATTTAAACTATATTTTACATCAATTTCCAGGCCAGATCCTATTGTGAATCAAGAGTGTGGAACCAGCAGAGATCAAAACGGGGACTACTAGGATCTAATCCTTGCACTAGGGGACCTGCATATTGGTGTGAATCTGAAGAAAATGCCAACAAATGCAATGTAAGTTCGTATTCCTATAACAAAGAGGCATTTTCAAAATACTTTCATTTTATGATTGCAGGCTAAGACTCATTGTCAGACCAGAGTATGGAATCAAAAATGAAATGAAGTGCCCCAAGTGTCATAAGTTATGTAAGAAAATATCACTATCGGTAGGTACTAACCTCAGAATAATATTTGGATATAGGTTTATACTTAGTTGAATAAATTCAATAACTATTAATTTTGTTTTCATCAATTAAATACTGTATATATTGTTGAAACTGATGCCAACAAATCCATTATCCATAATATATTATATAATATCAGAGGGGGCTAACTGCTACATTTTCTGGGAATTTAGCTTGGTAGGGGTTATTCAATAGTAACCATTCTGCGAGGAACATGATCGGATCTATTGGTTTCATAAGTACCACTTGAGCCAAGCCGTCTGTTAGTGTTGGTGTTACAAAATTATTTACATAGTCGGCCACTTTGTCTTCATCAATAATCAAAGGCTCCAAAATACCTATAAAAAAAACTCAGAGAATTAATAGGCACCCACCCGTTTAGGTACTATCAATCAAACCCCCTCTTTTGCTTAAGGGGTGGTCAGTATTTTACACTACGTTTTTATTATTCGAATATTCTTGAGGACATTATTATTACATAATGAGAAATGACCCAGTAAATATGGTATAAGACGATACTCCGTCCACCACCACATAAATCAATTTTCAAGTGATCTAGTAACATACATAGATATCAATGAACCCAACATAAATCAAACTTTCGAAAACGCGCGTGTTTTTATAATGTTGTACTAAAAATGTTGTCACTGGCCCACCGACATAAAAATGATATTTTTTCTTCTGAAAAACAACGAATTGTTTTCATTATTCTGGTATTATCGATAGTGATAGTGAACACGTTAATGAGTATCCTGTTCAGATACAGAATTTTAAAAATACCTTGATAGAAACCATGCCCAATAGGTCTTTATTAGCTCTCGTTCAAAAGGAGGCCTATTACAAATTCATTGTGTTATTGATTTTTTTGGCAATTTCCATGTTCACTTTATGGTTAATTTTGATAAGATAATTGATGTGATTTTAACTGCTGTTTTTCATGGAATGTCATGGAACTGGAACTGGGACACTGTTATGGAATTCAATATGATACGTTTTTCTGACTTACTTACTGACTTAGAACTCGGAACAAAAATTGTTTCCCTCTATAAACATTGTATGTTTCTTGGGATCAATAAATGTTAATCGGGGGCTATATCGACCGATATTTTGAATCATATGCCCGTATTTCTCTTGTTATACGAAATTGAAGCCAACTTATGCATGTTATAGCAAGAAGTTAATCTACTGAACATATTTTCATAAAAAAACTTTCAAAAGTTGGCAAGGTTTTTTTTAAACGTTCGATATAACCCGGGGTTCGAGGTAATATCAGAATTTTTACGCTGAAATAGTACATTTTGAGACTGGTATTTGATATAGGTTTCATCAAAACCCTTTATCGGACGATTTTATATGAAAAATAGCCATTCATGGTACAGGGTGATGTAGATAATAAAAGTGAAAGTTCAATCGTTATAATGCGAATAAACGTCGTTATTCATAGAAAGAATGTAAGAACAACAAATAATAAAAAACAAATCTGAAAATTTAAGTCAACTTATATATTATTATTTTATATATCCGATAATACCCCTGAAAACATATTTTTTGCCGATTTCGATTTTTTAGGTAAGGTCTTGATAAGGTTGAAAACAAATATTAATCCCATTGAGGTATGTAGCTATCATGTACAGGGTTCACAGACCAGCGGAGACTCTTTAACTTTCACAATTTTAACGAAAAGTATATGACAAATAATTTTTTTTATGGGCATACCTTGAATTTCTGATCGAGCGCGAAACTCATGTGGTAGGTTATGGTAGGCTAATCGTCGGGAGACAACATAACCTGGAGCTCTCTTTTGCCTTGTATGATAAATAACTATTTTGTAAATAAATGATAAAAACTTGGTTGGTTGAATTTTTTACATAAATTTTGAGGTTATGTGAAAAAAGTGTGATATAATAGATAGAGTTCTTTTTATTACTCACAACTTTGCCATTTAACTTTTTTCCGTAGAACTTGGTAGTTTCGCCGGAAATCGAAATAAACCGTTTTTATTACCCTTGAAAACTCACCCCCTACCATTTCCCGACCTCAGATCGCCCGTAATTTATTTTCCCTTGCATCTTTGTTATCTTCTTTCCCTTTTTCAATGGCTGTCATTCTACTATTTTTTTACTTCTTACCGTTTTCAAAGGCTTCAGCACTGGTCTAACTCCAGAGCGTTCCCTATCTATAATTATCATATCAGTAGAGAAAATCTGAAAAACTCACTTCTGGGAAAAAAATACCGATTTTCCCACATCCCTTCTGCCACATTTTCAGAAGCGTGCAACGCGTCGGGCATATCAGCAAGGATCCCGAACCTCGACCTGACGCTGTAAGGAAAGAACCACTCTTCCCTGAGTACACCATAAGGGCCTATCATGGTCTTCCACTTTTCCACGCAGTCTTTGCCGGCAAGGGCTAGCACCAAGACGGGGGAAACGTTCATGGTGACCACCATGTGGGGGAAGGAGGGGCTGCCATAGTGTTTCGCGTAGATTTCTGAGACTTGCTCTGGACTGAGGTGAATAAGTCGTTGCTGAAAGAGCAATAATGATTTATCTACATTCCAGCAAGCAAAATCTGAGGATTTTCTCTCCTAATATCTATAAATACGGTGTGTCTCATTTTGAACTGACTCCCTTTTTATATTCGATCAAGAGCATAGTGGAAGGAGAAGATGGTGTGCCTATGCGCATATTATGTGACGTCATCTGGGATACCAATATCAGCTGCTAGTCACAGACAGATACTGTTGGCATGGGCGTGCGCAATGAATTCAATCATGTTTTTCGAAATTTCTATAAGTTTCTCGATCTGTTTAGAAATAATTCAGTATTTATAAACAGGTTCCTATTCCTTCGATTTTACTATTTCATTGATTCTGGAAATTGTGGAAATTGTGATCTTGAGGTAATTCGCAATCGCAAATAGCAAATACATACGAATTATCATGCATTGCCAATCCCATCTGAATGATCCACTAACTGTGTTGATTCTGACAGATTGAAATTCAGCAGTTAACGACGTTGACGTTGCTTCTGCTCCGACATCGACAACAGGAGTATCAATTCTTGCCGTTTTGTTATTCAAATCTTTGCTGCAATTTATATTTTGTGAGAAATTTGAGTTTTGAATTCATTTTCAATTATTTCTGACTTGATATTCGGAAGATGTTCTGTAGGAATGGCATCGTGTTTCAAATATTTGTGATTTTTTGGAGGTGTGTAATTCGAGAACCGTACTTTCGCACTTGTTTGGAAACAATTTGCATGGAAATTATTTGAAGAAATACGTGCTGTAATATGAATGTGATGATAATATGATAGGTGAATACTTTGGAATGAGGATATAAGAAATATAAGGTAGGTACCATTATTTGAGTTTATATTCTGTCGGCAGCAAGCTCCCATCGTTTCATTAGGTCTCCATTCTTGGAAAAGCAGAAAAATGCCTTTTGTATGTTAGTTGGAATTTCCATAACCAGAAACGAAACAAAAGTGGGCATTTCGAAATTATTTCATTCAATTTTAGTATTTATATAATATCTGAAGGACATCAATCACGAAAACAAATAATATCAATGACAGTTATATCCCAGCTGACGTCATGCGCAGAACAAGACGAGTTTGAGCTTTCTGTTGAGCACACCATCTTCTCCTTCCACTATGATCAAGAGTAACACAGCAAAAGGACTTGGGAATTGTTTACGACCACAAACTAACTTTCACTTGAAAAGCTGGAAAAATTATTCACGAACAAAATTGAGAAACTAAAAAATGTCTTAGGAGGCCATGTTCTTGTATTTAGGCATAACTTTCAATTGAAAACAACTTTTCTCAATAACATTTTGCTGAATTTTCTGAAATGAGGGTACTTTACTCTTGAGCAATTTTCTTATTTCTTGACCTACCCTGTATGCTGTGTGACATGCAACCATTCTAAGTGCACCTAAAATGATTACCGAACATGCACCAACTTTCGGCACTATCTATATTTTGGTTGTGCAATAGAGCATTGTCAGTGACGTCATATGACGGCCATTGAACACCTGATGGGAAGCATACACATTTTCCATAAGGGAACATCCCACTGTGCAAAAAAACATACTAGTAACGTTTGGTCGAAGGCCTATCGACATCTCAAAGACCGTCTTAAAGTCGTTATATGTCCACCAACATAACAATCACATTAGTGACGTTAATATAAAGTAGCAAAGTTTAACTTATGATATAGAAGGTTCGTTAAAAGTAACAATGTCACATAGTTATGTTATTATGACGTACAAGTGCTGTGTTCGCAGAAACGTCGCCGGGGATACAATATTTTAACGTTAATGAACCTCCTAAGGATGTTTCTTGCTCAGTGGGATGTAACTTTCTTGCACATTTACCACTAAAATACAATACCTGGAGCATTATTTATTTATTGACATGTTTGTTAATTCATTCATCATGAATACTGTGAGAGAAGTGAATGAGTCCAAAGAAGAGTTCAAATTATGGTTTATTTGTCAATTTTAAATTACTGGATTTACTTGAGTTCAGCTCTAATATACCTAATATACCTCGTAATATACCTCAATAGATACTCTTTTTGGAAGAAAATGTACACATTCTTGTGGGTCAGAAATAATAAAATCAAAATTCACACACAGCTTTGTTTGTCCCCCGATCAGCTGATGAAAACGCTCTATTCATTAAAAAGATTCCCATATGTTGCACACTTAAATGACCACACTGTATATAAAATAACTTGACAAAATAAAAGTTTGGGTTGTCTAAAACAACTTTCTCATCTTACATTTTCTATATTTTTAAAAACAAAAGAGTTGAGATGACGTTCAATTTTGATAGGCGCACCCTGTACACCTTTGCTGCATGTTGAGTGTAATTAAAAAGTCACTTTCAATGTCATTTGGAGAAAAATAAATAGAATTCGATAGTTCTTCTAAACAAAAATCAACCAACCCCCCTCCCCAACTTACATCAAGTATCTTCAATCCTGCCTCCCACACAGCCCTCAACACCACGTCCTTGAACCGCACCGCCTCTGGCTTGACAATAGCCAGCGTCCGTTGCGGCTCCGACTGGTCGCAGGCGGCCGAGGCCGACGAGCGCGAGCTGGCCGAGCCCGAGTCGAAGTCCTGCTGCTGGGCGGCGAAATCGGGAGGCCGGAAGTGCACGAACTGCCGGTAGGAGAGGTCGCCCTCGTGCTCGCTGCCGGTCCGGGTGGTGGCTGGGGAGAGGTAGTGGATGGTGTCAGCCGGTCTACCGGTATTCTGTGATAAATGATGAATGTTTAGCTTTTTTATGGAAATGGGGAAGTTTTATGTCCACGCTGTACAGAATGGCGACCGATAAAGTCCAAGTCGTCGGGGCGGCAAACTGTGACGTAACTCTGATGAATCTATACCTTTTCAACTTCAATTTCGGAATCGGTAAGTTATATTTCGGAAAAAGTAATCTCGATTTCAGAATTGGTTAGTTCGATTTCAGAAATGGTAGACTCAATTTCAGAATCGGTGAGATGAATTTCAGAAAAAGTCCATTCAATTTCAGAAATGGTAAGTTGTATTTCAGAATTGGTAGGTTCAATATCATAAAAAAAATCCTTATATTTGTTCGAAATGTTTCCAATTGCATGTGAGATTAACAAACCATATTTAAAATATTCAACTTTTCAAAAACAATTTAATCCACAGATGCCTTCCATCTGAATCGCTGGAAGATAGTGGCGTTACACATGATTATAAGAATGCAAACACATTTGAGGTGTTATCATGTTCATTGAATGATCTGCACATTCTTCAAGACATCGCAGTCTGAATTCTATCTGGTTGAGCAATCTGTTAGGATCTCCAGCTATGACCCTTTGGCGATGCTCTTGCAAGAAGCTCTTCACTTCTGACTTGAAGGCACCCGCCCATATTTATGTTCAATCTGATTCAATATAGGGCTCTCAAACACCGATCCATCCACTGTAAACAGTCTTCTCTTTTGCAATTAAAAACATTTCAAACATATAAAAGGATTTCATCTTCTGAAATTGAACCTACCAATAATAATTCTGAAATACAACTTACCATTTCTGAAATTGAATGGACTTTTTCTGAAATTCATCTCACCGATTCTGAAATTGAGTTTACCATTTCTGAAATCGAACTAACCAATTCTGAAATTGAGATTACTTTTTCCGAAATATAACCCACCGATTCCGAAATTGAAGTTGAAAAGGTATAGTCTGAAAACAGCTGATGATGAAGAATATAGCTAACGGATGAAAAACGAATGAAAAAAAATAGAAGAAGTAAAATAACTGGTAAACGAAAACATACATAACCACAAATGCACTTGGAGCAGGAATGCAGAGGGTAGTTGGCTTCATTGTAACGGGTTATGGTTTTGTTATTTATGCATTGAAATATCTCGAATAGATCTCGATCCTAAACCAACATATCATTGAATCCCTATCGGCTATATTCAATGATACTATCCTTCCTAATTTACTGGCATCGGTCAGAACAGAACGAAGCCGACACCCATGGCTCCTTCCTCTTGTTGTGCCTGTCAGTATTTTGAGTGGTGTGGACGGACTTGAAGTATTAGGCGCTGTTGCAAGATATAATCTGCAACTTTCCTAGAAAATAGATCCGTTTTATTAAGGAACGAATTCATCACCAAAAAAATTACTGACAAGTTGTGAACAACATATTGTGATATAACGATAGTGAAAAATTATAGATACTATCGCAAAATATCATAATTTATCTTTGTTAGTAATCAACTACATTCAGCCAATGAGAGATTTATGGGAATTATTCATAATACTTGACAAAGTAGGATTGAAAAACCTATTATATTCCATTGCTGTTATTATATAGTTATTTTGCATTCAAAGAACAATTTCCGGAAATCTAGACATTGATGATCTCGTCAACGCCGTACTGGCACAGGGACGTATTTTAACTCTGTATGAATGTGGATTTTCAGAAAGTACGGCATAGGAATGGTGGACGACCCAAGTTCCCCTTTTATTTTATTTTTCTGAAGTGAAATTTGAAAGAAAAAAAACGTATATATTAATTTTTTACAAACTTCAGAGTGAGATCAGAACCTCAATAAAGTAAACTTTCCCATTACTGTACTCTCTATTCGTTTAAAAGCCTTGGCTCGACCTAAAAGAAAAAGGAATCGGAAACCGTTCAGAGCGAAGTCGAAAACTATCTTTCTGTTTTTTGGCATTGTTTCACAAACAGCGTATATCTTATTATGCATATCCGAGCCGAAGCTTTCCTGCTACTGTGTGGCAGCGTAAAAGAGCGGCCGGAAGTGCATGAACTGCCGGTAGCAGAGGTCGTCCTCGTGCTTGCTGCCGCTATTCTATGATAAATGATGAATGTGTTTAGCTTTTTCATGGAAATTGCCGTATTCTCTGTTCGTTTAAAAACCTTGGCTCGACCTAAAAGAAAAAGGAATCGGAAAACGTTTATCGTTCAGAGCGAAGAAGTCGAAATAGTAATTTTCCTAACAAGTGTGGAAAATGATATACTTTCCCGCAAGCGAATGCCGTTGACCAGAACGACGCGAAGCGGAGTTCGGGCAAGCAGTTAGACACTTCCGCATGAGTTAGGAGCAATATTTTTTCTACAAGCATAGGATTCCTGCAAATAGGAACAACTATAACAATAGTGATATATTCTCCATCTTCTAATAATTATTGATATATCTATTGTGTGTACCGTTTGAAGCATTATGTAGGAAAGGCATTTCTAGGAAATGAGCCAAAACTACTTCTTCTTTATTCGGTGTTTTCACTTTTTTACTAATGCACCATTCATAATAAATCCCGTGTAGTGCTTCTGCTCATACCTTTCTTAAGACTTCGTTGGCAATAACTCATCTGTATCGCATCTGTAGCCGGAAGTTTTTCATCCCAATTAAACTGAATCGAAAATGACGTTTCCCACATAAGGCTCTTGGTGGATTTATATAACAAGCAATTATTATTGTTGAATATTTGTTCATTTTCACAATAAATAGTGCAATTTGATGGATGCTCTTGTACAAACTTACTAAATACTGCAACAAAACAGAACAAAAATTTTCATATTGTGTCACCCACCACTCATATTTTGCGAGAATATGATATAAATTTTCCGCACTAGTGTGGGGAAACTTTTCTCGCACTACTGCAGGAAAATTATACTTCCCAAACTAAATTGGGTGCAGATATAGGGTGAATCACGCCTTTCATCTTTTTCAAATTCCTATACTCTAACTTTTCACTTCTGGGAATCAAATGCAACTCAATGCACTGATTGAAATTATAATTTTCTTTGATACTCTACTGAAGAATTCAAATTCGAAAAATATCACAATGACCACAAAACTTTCTCTCCTTCAGATAAAAATATGTATACCGGGTGTCCCATTTTAATCTTTATTTGGAAATTTCTCGAAATGTATGCATCTGACAAAAAAAATTGACGAATAAAAGTTGTATGGTTTGGAGGGGGACGTCTGGTTATAAAACAAGTTTTACCCCCTGACCCCCAGGGGAGTAAGAAATGGAGGTAACATTGAAATCTTTAATGGAAACCCCTATTTTTTATTGCAGATTCTGGAAGAGCATTAAAAACTATGAAGCTTTCATTCGGGAACTTCTTTTTTATTTTCACAAGATGGCGCTGCGATCGTAAAAAACAATATTTCACTATTTACACATTTCAACCCCCTGAAGACGAGGAAGAGTGTAGGGTGTGATATTTTCCCAGACAAACGCCATTGGGGTGATATTCACACGACGAATTAACTTTAAACGAACTTACTTGCCTTGACACCTCTACATTGAAAAGAGGAAAATAAGCATGGTTCAGCAATTTAGGTATCATTTAGGTCTGACTAAAGCTGGTTTTAGTTTAGATTGACTACGAAATGACCTCCATTTTCTTGAATACACAAGTTCACTCGTTTTTCAAAATTCCGCACTGTCGCTTCCAACATAGCAGGCGTTAAAGCCATGCACGCTCCTCTAATTCTATGTTTCATATTCTCGCCTGTGGTTGGGGGTTTGCGAAACACAATGTTTTTGATGTAACCCCACAGAAAGAAGTCTGGGGAAGTCAAGTCGGGTGATCTGGGTGGCCAACTACAAACTAAATAGTAAATTATTGTTTTTCAAGATCGCAGCGCCATCTTGTGAAAATAAAAAAGAAGTTCCCGAATAAAAGCTTCATAGTTTTTAATGCTCTTCCAGAATCAGCAATAAAAAATAGGGGTTTCCATTAAAGATTTCAATGTTACCTCCATTTCTCACTCCCCTGGGGGTCAGGAGGTGAAACTTGTTTTATAACCAGACGTCCCCCTCCAAACCATACAACTTTTATTCGGAATTTTTTTTTGTCAGATGCATACATTTCGAGAAATTACCAAATAAAGATTAAAATGGGACACCCGGTATATGCACATAATGTCATTCTGAATATTCAATAGAACAGTTACTTTCCTGAAACTTGTATTCCTATTTTTGATCGCCGCTGGTGAAGTTTGACATGCTAATTTAGGGACACTCTGTAAAGTGGAATCGATGCGTGCTTTTGTCTTCAGCCTCGGATTTTATTGAAAAATCCTCTACCGGAGTCATCTACTAAATCTTGTTATATTGAGGGTACATTTTATAAAATTTTGACCAAGAACCTGCGTAACCCCCAAAGGTTCAAAAACGTCCAATAGCTCAGAAATTGACGTACAATGCTTCACGAATATAAAAAAAAATTAAAAAATACAATAGACGTCAGTTTACGCCCTGTGGGATACTTTTTAGGGGTTATCTTACCTTTGGTGTGGAATTTCTAGAAGATGATTCAGTAGTATAAGCGTTAAAATTCGTAGCAGTAGTACGATCAAGACTGCTTTTGAAAGACGACGCGCTCAGCAAGCCGATTTTATCTCTTGGGGAGGCTTGTATCGACATTTTCAGCAAAAATTTCTTTAATCACTCTATAATAAGTATTGAATGAAAAACAATTATTTTCATAGACTGTGGCGTTTGATGTCAATTTCAGAAAATGCCATGCCGAAGCAGGTCATACTAAGGTATCTAGATGACTTAGGAAACCATAGGCAATATATACCTAACCTATAGGAACGAGAGATTTCACGGACTCTACTGAGTGCTACTGATAAAAAAGAATGTCAATAATCAATGAAATATGTGGATGAAAAATATTACGTCGTATTTCCCAGAAATACAAACAAAAAATTTAAATATATTCTAGCGGTCTATTTACGGGCATATTTCATGAATTCTCTTACACGGTATCAACATTCTCAATTCTGCATTGTATTTTTGCCATAGCTTGTTTGGTGAACCCTTCATCGAACTGTGATGTATAGACTCGAAGACCATTCAATGGTAGTCTTCATGGTTCTTGTAGGTTTCCTTGTGTTTTTGCAGGATTCAACTTGATCTTCTTTATTTCAGGAAGTAGGATTATACACAGATTAACAAACCTCAATCGGTGGTTAATTCACTCTATAAAAATCTTAGGAAGAACTGAAATTTCCTTTTAATATCGTTCTTTAGGAGCATATAGTTTAAGCTTGAAAAATAGAAACGAAACAGAACGAATGAACAAAACAAAAAGTAAATAAGATTGTCCCACATCCATCAAGGTTGGTATCTGTCAAAGGTATCTGTTAATCTTCCATCAAACTGATTGAAATTGAGCAACGTTTGCTTATATCTAAACTAAGATATCTTAACACACTCTTGGAAAGCAGGGACATCATATAGAATCATCATCGCTATAACCCTGGAAGTAACTGATGCATATAGGTACTCAGTTTGAAGTCTGATCATCTATTTCTAGATAGGATAAGGTTACGGTTATTGAACTATGGACAAACTATTCCAAATACTCATAGTTTTATTTTGTCAGCTTAGTGCAGATATAATTTCTCTTGTAAAAAGGTAAAAATGTTCGTTCCATACGAGCTGCTGCTTCGGTTGGATGCCCTGGCGGATCTCTAAAATAAAAAATGATAATGGGTGCACTTCAGAGGCGTAGGCACAGATAAGGTTCATTTATCTGTGACGTATAATAGCTATTAGCTATCAATTTTATAGTGAAGAGAAGGACAATTTCATAGTTCAACGTGTCTTGACGTTTTCGAAACCTTCTATGATAAAATAACCAAATTTGGTACATGTAAGTACCAATTATAATCTGTTTATGCCCGATTTGCAAATGTTGAGAATTTTCCGAAAATTTGATCAGGGGCGTGGAAAAAGGGGGGGGGGGGCTAGAGGCTTCTTTGTCCCCAACTTCTTTGGTTATGTAATTTTTGGCGGTTCGACCAGGATTCATGATTTTCTACTCACAAATGGTACCCTTATTATTAGAGTCTACTGCATAATAAAAATAGTAATACTCTGTCAGCTATATCAGTGTAGAACTTAAGGCGGAAAGATAAAGATATAGAATCTCAGATGTAGATAAAAATTTCAGAAATGGATCATTTGGGAAACTCTGAAACATCCATTTATTCCATTTATAACAACAGATAATGACATGAAAAATATTTACTTCTGCATATGAAATGCTTCCACTCCTGACTTGGTTAACATAAAGCATCCATCAGTGCTATCATATCATGTATTTTGTCTATATACAGGGTGTCCCTAGACCAGTGGGACAGTTGAATATCTCCTGAACCAATAGGAATTTTCGAAATATTATAATTCCACATCATATCGCATCATGAGTGCTAACTTCAGGAATGACTATATTTTCTACGAGGGGCACAAGAAATGCTCACAAAATCGAAAATCAATTTTTTCAAATGGAACACCCTGTATTTTATTGCATTTTCATAATCTCCTTGAAGAGCTGAATTCAACGACCCAGCACACTTGGGCTCTAGCGGGAATGATTTCCGAGATATAGGGTGTGGAAAATCGAGATTTTTCATTTTTGGGAATTTTTTGTGTCAAAACTATTCATTATTGGTCAAAACGGCTCACATGTCCATATCTCAACTTTTGATTTACTATTTACTCGTATTTAATTGAAACAAATACAGGGTGGTGTGGAATTCCGACTGAAACTAAGAATTCTACACCACCCTGTATTTGTTAAATTTAAATACGAGTGAATAGTAAATCAAAAGTTGAGATATGGACATGTAAGCCATTTTGACCAATAATGAATAGTTTTGACACAAAAAATTTCCAAAAATGAAAAATCTCGATTTTCCACACCCTATATCTCGGAAATCATTCCCGCTAGAGCCCAAGTATGCTAGGTCGTTGAATTCAGCTCTTCAAGGAGATTATGAAAATGCAATAAAATACAGGGTGTTACATTTGAAAAAATTGATGTTCGATTTTGTGAGCCTTCCTTGCGCCCTCGTATAGAATATAGTCATTCCTGAAGATAGCACTCATGATGCGATATTATGTGGAATTATAATATTTTGAAAATGCCTATTGGTGCAGAAGATATTTAACTGTCCCACTGGTCTAGGGACACCCTGTATAAGAGCTTTCAGCCAATTTTGTGAAGTTATAGATGAATACTCAAATACAATATAGAAGCAGGGCTTTCAGAGTAATGTTGCAATGTTCAAAATTGGATGATTCAATAAAATTAAGTTTCCAACTCACAGACGTTATTTAGGACTCATATAGGTATTTGAAATTAATGCTAAATCTGTTCATATATGATGTTTCGATCACTTGAGTATATGGAATTTAGTCATATTCAATGAAAATTATCAACAAATTGAAGTAGAGTAGTTTAATCCAATCCAACTAACCTGAAAGTATAATTCATACTGTTGCATAATACAGTCTATAAAAGCGTTATCGTGAAAAAATATCGCGAATTGGAGAGAAACTTATTCCGTAGAAACCCTTCTAGAACAACCCCTGTATTTACTTCCAGCTGGATCCAAATTCGCCGTCTGAGTTCCTTTATCTTCACTAACAGTAGCAACATCTACATTCTCCAAAACATGAGGACGTATCTTCAGATCGGTCTGTGCCTCATTGTCGTGATACGCTATCATCCTCTTCTGATTCAAACGCTTCCTGATGATGTCACAACAGATATAACCGACACCGTCATCATCAGCCAACGAAAACTCACTAGCATGGTCGTTTTGTGCCTGAAACTCCACTATCGAGGCGAACTGCAGCTTCCTCTTTCTTCCCAAATCGACCACTCTCAAGCTATTTTCGGTGATGTCCTGGTAGGGGGTGAATCTCAGCAAGTTGATGAACCTGCTGGTCTCTTCGCTGGGTTTCATCGATATCACCGATTGCAGCTTTTTGTCGGAGGCAACGTAGGCGAAATCGTCTACGTTGTCGAAAACATGCGGGTGGACTTTGATGATCGTTTGAGTACCGTTTTCCACCAGAGTTTTTGATGGGCTAGTGCTGCTCGACATACTCAACCAGCTGACCAACTTCATTTAGTTGTTTTACTGCATAACGTTATCGCGGCATACAGTTTAGTTCCATTGGGTATTCATCTGGCTGTATTTTGACATTTTGCAGATGACACTGACAACGAAGAGAAGACTTTAAACTAAATTCATGATGTAGTTTTCAGAATCCTGGGGGGCGAAGTTTTTATTTTGGAAGTACTGAACTATACTCGACAACGAAGAGAAGACTTTGAAATAAATTCATGATGTAGTTTTTAAAATCCTGGGGGGCGGAGTTTTTATTTTGGAAGTAGGTACTGAACTATTCGTCAGAATCCAAATCGTAAGTCTGAGAACGAATACATGGAAATGCTACTCTATGAAAATCTCGAAATCTTGAAATAGGTAATGGCATATCTCATATCAGAGTGTCAAGGTTTCGAAGAACTATATTTTGACAATATTTTCGCAAATCTGCCGACCTTTTCTAAATGAAATTGCCGTTTAATGTGAGTCACACTGTATACAGGGTGTTGCGAATTTCGACCGACAACGCTTGACAGGTGATAGCCCTCGTCATTTCATAGTCACTGAGATAGGGACATACGGTCTTCAGTTTTCGAGATACAGGGCGTTGAAGTTGAGAAATTAGAATAGTTTTTTCGCAATATCTCAAGAAAAATTTAATATGATGCATTCAAATTCGGTATATGGTTTCATCTTTCAATGATTAATTTTTTGACCAGAAAGACATTCCGAGAATTTCATCCAGAGATGCCCTACAGAGGGTTATGATAACTTTTCCTCCCATATTTTCTACGCCACTGATGACATTTCGATTATTTCCAATTTCTCGAATTGATTGTTCAATTATGTTGAAAAAATGCATCACCTTCAACTGAGCTAAAATGTTTGCATAGTAATTTTTCATCTTCCTCAGTAGTATAAAATTACAAAAAATTTGGTTGTCTCTTCATGAGTGGAATAACTTTTTCTGTTCAGCTACAGAATGATACCTGAATAGTATCTAATCTATTCAACACCAGAAACAAATTTTCGCAATTTTCTACTATAGGTACTGAAAATGATGAAATATTACTATGCAATCTTCTATTTTTGGCGAGATTTTGGGTCGAATATCTCGAAAACTGTTCATTTCCGCTCAGTTGAAAGTGATGAATTTTTTGAACAAAATTGAACAATGAATTTTTGGAAATGGGAATAATTGAAATGTAATCAGTGGCGTAGAAAATATGGGAGGAAAAGTTGCCACAACCCCCTGTAAGGCACCACTGGATAAAATGTCTGGAATGGCTTCCTGGTCAAAAAATGATCCATTCAAAGATGAAACCATATACCGAAATTGAATGCAGTAGGTATATTCAATTTTTCTTGAGATATTGCGAAACAACTATATTCTTATTTCTCAACTTTAACGCCCTGTATCTCGAGAACTGAACACTTGAAGACCGAATGTCCCTATCTCAGTGATTATGAAATCACAACACCCTGTATAAATGGACAGCATAAATACGTCTTAGAGACGGTTTAACTTTAATTGCATTTAATCGAACACTCATATCATGGTTCAAAAATAATTTCCGCTTCAAATAATATACTATACAAAATAAATATACAGTGAGGACCAAAAGTCCGTTGCCCTCCCTCCCTTAACTTCTTTATTTTACATTTAAAAAAATGTTTAAAGCTTTCGAAAGGTGAGCATAGCAAAATGAAATACATTGAGTCCCATTTGTAATGGTTTTTCCTCACTGAACTGAATGCTCTGTATAATACGTTAAATAAAGAAGTTACGAGGGGGGCGAAGGACTTTCGGTCCGCACTGTATAAAACGAACATAATACAAATTGATCAAGGGCACATATCAAGTGGTGTTAACAATAAGAACAAAATTATTGAGATATAAAATCTTAGCATAAGATGCCTAGCCATAGACCAGTTCAGGTTCGTCTTGATTGAGACTACTGAGGAAGTGTGACACGCATGTCAATTTTGAAGAATTCAAATTCATAAACAAATCTTCAGTAGATATAGAGATATTGATACTGAATTATCTCAAGATTCGTACTTGTACATCCACGTATTCTAAAACACAGAAAATGTCTGATAGAAAAGACCAAGAGGAAAAAGAAGAATCTTCCACTTTTCTACAAGAGACGGATTCCAAATGCAGTTCCTCTACATCAATTACCAATAAAGAAGATACTGAAGTATTCGAGAGGCAATTGACGAAAACTGAAGTAAAAAAACCTAAGACATCAATTAAACTACCAGGACAGTTAGACATAACTTCGAAGGAAGAAACGCAAGTAGTTGGAGATGATGTCACCAAGCGAAACGAGCAGAACATAATTTGTGAATGTCAGCCCAATGTAGCTGGAGCAGCTGTACCAACTTTATCGTCAGTCAATAGTCTAGCAAATTCATTGGAAGCATCAGATGAATTCCTACGTAGTCAATATGTTTCCGGCAACGAGTCTGAGAAATTGTTAGTTCATGATTCTCTAGAAGTTCCAAGCACATCTATAGCAAAGTCTGACAATAAAGCTTCGAAAAAACCAAGCATGATCCCAATAAAGCTCACAAGACCAAATAGCAGTAATAGACCGGTTCGGGACAGAGGTCAAACAGATCTTCTAAAGAAAACAGTAAAAGAACAACAATTGCATACCAATAAGAAAAATGAAACCAAGTTTCCAAAAGATAAACCTTATCGTTCTAAGATTGAGGGCAAAAATATTGTAGGTCATCTGGAGGATAGACCTACTAGCAAGATCTCTTCTAGAATGTTGAATCTACAAGAAAGGTTGAAAGCTACTACATCAATGCTGAGAAAGAGATTCGAAGACGACAAAAGTAAAGCTGATTCTTCATGCCAGATAAGTTCTGGATGCTGCTTGACCAATCAAGAATCAGTTAGCAGTCAAACTTCTGAGGAAGAAACCAGCCCCACTTCGGTGGTAGATCTGTATAAGATTATTATACAATTGAAAGAAACAGCTACCAAATTGTCAAGTATAAGCATTCTTGGAAAACAGAAGGGTTATATTGAGAAGCTGTTGCTTAAAATAACTGAGATTCAGAAGATCGCTGATCACCTGTCCAAATGTGAGAATAGTAATGAAAAGTTCGTAGACGGAAATGAAGAACGGAAGACAGAGATCAGCAAATCCGCCAAAACTAAGGATAACAAGATCTACATCAAGTTTGTACCCAAGAAGAAACATCTAGATTCACCAAAGGACAATACCGAAGTTACACAGACTGAGCTAGATTTAGGGACTCCGACTTCAGAATGTCGTATGACCTCTGAAGTAAATATTCCTGACGAGGTAGGTATTAACAATTGCAGTTGTTATAGTTGTTTATATATGGAAGTCATGTCTTTTATTTTCAAACTTTTCAGACTAACCACGAAATCAGCATGAAAGATTCAGACTCTATGGATGGAATTTTCATACCTTCATGTGAACCACCGATCAACATTGAAGAAGAAGAAGAGGAAACCAACGGATTAGATATCACAATAACGTTCCCTGAAATCAACAATCTCCTTTCGCACGAAGATCATTCTCACCTGTCTGTCCGTTTATCAGACATTTCTGAGGAAGCTCTCAAAAAGTTGAAGCGGTGCCCCAAAGATTTCACCCTAAGAATGGATTTCGTTCAGGGCAAAATACTATTTCAGACCGGTAAAGCCCCAGTCAATAATTTTTCTATTGGGCCAGACTTGAAGTTTGTGGAGAATCCGATAGATGAGAAAAAATCTGATATCATCAGTATAAAGCCATCAACAGAATGTTCATTCGCGTCCCAACTGATACCAGTGGAGAACATTACGAAAGAGATTACTTCCTACAAATCTTTGAGATCGACTGACTCTGAACTGTTCAGTGTGGTTAATTTACCATACATTTACAGAAACTCCTCTTTGAATACGGTGACAAAATCTTGTATCACATTCAAAAATGACGGAATTCTTTCAATGGCTCTGCTTGCTAGGCATTTTGGAAGAAGCATGCCTCAAATACCAAGTATAACGAATATTTTCGAAGAAAAAATAATGGAAAATTTGAATAAGGCTACTGGTATGAAATTTACTTGAATACAATTTGTTTCTATTTACGATATTAGATATTGTTTCAGCTCTTCAGATTCAAGAAAGAAGGAGAAAAAATCGGGCGAATCAGAGAAGGGCAATCATCACACCAAATAATGTTTGAATATTTGTATTTTGAATTTGTAATAATTATTTGTGATTTATACACGTATATAAATAAATAAATATTTTTTAAGATGTTTCTTTCCTCTGAATAATTCTCTGAGAAAAAAATGTCAACTCAAGATCTGTGGTGTATTATTTTTATTTTTCACCTTTCCTAAGTAACCCGTGAGTAGTTTGACATGCATATTCAGTTTAGAACCGGAACAGACCGGAACAGTCCCATTGGTCTTTTTAATCTATGGTTCCATTTAACCCCAATAACTTGAGACAGTAAATATTTTTTTTACAAATCTCCTTACATTTGGAGCAATTTAAGGTTCTTTGTAGGTAAAATGCATATGAAAGAAATTTTGTACACAGGAATTGATGCATTGCGTCCCTAAATACTATGATAAATTACTACATTATTTAAATTATTCTAGTGAATTTGTCCGAAGTAATCGTAACATCATTTTACGGTATTGTCAAAGAAGATTAACGCTATACACGAACATTGTTTCTTCCAAATCTTCCACACAGAGTACTGGTCCGTAAAGTAGGATTGTACGATTTTTATTTTTTTACTCCAAAAACCTGCTTGTTTGAAATTATTCATCAAGTAACGAAGTTAGATTATCTATCAACTATGAAGCTCTGTCAATAAAATATCGCAGCACCCTGAATATACCTACCTTTTTCTTGAGATCCAATTTGATTGTGTCGATACTCACATTAAAATTTTTCCACCACTAGCTATGAAACCTACCATTCATTTACTCCTTTTCGAGGCGACTTCTCTGATCTGATGCGAGATTTATAGGAATGGCACTGGAATCTAGTAGGTATTTATCAGTAACGACTTGTCATATGATGTCAGCATGGTCATGACTACTAGATTTTAATTAGAAGTCAAAAAAAGTGCTTCCAGAGCATTTCCAGAGTAACAATGTTCATATTTCAGTTTCACGTGGTTTCTCAGAACTAAAATGATTGAAATATTTTACTAGTGGTGAAATAACTTCAATATACATGATGGTAGTGAAGAATATTATTACCACAGGACCTCATACCCCTCGGCTGAAGCCTCGGGATATTATCTTGGTCTCTGGGTAATATAAACATTTAATCTCTCAGCAGAATTAAAAAGAACGACACACGGCTCTGATACGCAAATAACGGATTCGGTTGCTTTAATCCTCGGTTGAGCCTCGGATTACAATATTCAACCTCATTCGTTATTATTTGCTACTTGACGGGGTTCGCCAATGGAGACTAGAGAGAGAGCCATTTGCTATCAATTCGATAGAACATTAAACAACTAGGTGTCAGATCTAGTACAATAGAAATCTGGCAACGTCAGTTCACATAATATTATTTCCGTGTTCACTGTCAATGACATAATTATTATGTTTCGTGATTGTGACTGAATTTTTGTGACAATTTATTTGTGACTGTGACGTGTGACGTGATAAAATGGATGTAAGGTTGAGAAAATTCGTAAATATTAGGAATTGTTTATATTTTCGTAGCCATTGATGATAATCTATAGTAAACAATGAATCAGTGAAAAGTGGAATAATCGTATTTTAACATTGAGATAGGTAATGGATACGGTAATTCGTGTATTGACTTGTTGGTTATGTTCCTTGGCCTTGTAATGGTTGAAAAAGGGATTTTCCTCGGGATTATTTTTCCTTATCCTTATCCAGATCTCTAGAAACTCTTCTGATTAAACGCGATCGAAGATCGAACATAGTTACGGACCCAGACTTTGCAAGTGTTGTGCATCATGTGAATTTACTATTTTCCGAAATGAGCAACAGAAGTTCCTACGAGGGAGATCCATTTCTATATACGGTATATTTTTTATCCTACATGCTACATGATATTATTTGAATCACTGTTTTTTATTATTATTTCAAAGCAATTACTCTTCAGGAAGGAATAGGTTGTGAGAATATTTATATGGATTATTTCAAACCAAAAGAAGAAGGTAATGACTGCTGAGGAACCATACTATTACAAAGTTGCTACTGGGGAGAAAACTATGAAATTATTTCTTACCATCATTACTACCTCTTGATCATTGATTTTTTTACTCAACCCAGATTATTGCCATACAGAACTAGAATTACTGGTGAAATTACTTTTGAGTAGAGCTTTCTAGAAGATATCCCATCAGGTTTTACATCAAGAATCAAAAGATAGGTATGTGAAGAGTTTTACATTTCTGCTGTTGACTTGGCAGTTGATTACTTGTCATAGTTATGAAGACTCAAGTTAGTAGTTCATACAACATTAATGTACTGATTATTTAAACTGGAGGTTATTATTTAATCAATTGTAGTTTTCAAAATTATTCAAGGATTCACTGGACTCCGGAATTCATATTACCTCTATATCAGGTGAAATTTATATCCAAATGCAAATATCTCCATGTTTCATGCATACCAATAATTAAAGAACTCAATTATGGAGTTAATTACTATCAGTACTATCACATTTTCATCAGCTGATTGAACCGAGGATTGAACTGAACATACCTACCTATATTGCAAAAGTCTTTGATGAGAAACAATGGTAAATTTTAATAACAGTTTATTACTACCTTTATTATGACCCAGACTCTGGTAATTTTGAATATTACATTGGTCATACAATGCATGCAGGTATTTAGTAGGTGGATAACGCAAAAATAATTAGCAATTGACATGTAACTGTAATGTGGTTTAGTTGACGTGGAAATGTACAGGGTTATTCATGGTGAAAGTTCACCCCTATATTTACATTATTTTTCTATCCAGAAAATAAAAAACAATATGCAGAGCAAAGTGACATCTCCATAGTCATTATCAGAAATTTCACAGGGTGATCCCTAAAAGCGTGAAAAACCACCAATTATTTTTTATTTTTGTCGGAATCTGTGGATTCTTTTGATTACAAAAATATATAGGGTGATATCTTCTATTTTCACTTCTTTCAATACCACTCTTTTGAGCCTAGAAAAACAAATTTTGCCTGATTAATTGGTGATCTCTAGGTCAGTGTGTCATCTGTCAAATATATCCTCATTCATGGCTAACATGATAGGTATCCGAGTAGCCAACACACAAAAATTCACAAATTTCCAAAAAATATAAAATACAGGGTGTTCCATTTAAAAAATATAATTTGTGGTTTGTCACGCCTTTAGGGATCACCCTGAAAAACTTCTGATTAGTGCTGTGGAAAAGCCTCATTACGGCATTCAACTTGATATCCGAGCAACGTGTTTTGATGAGTGTTTCGAACTCTCATGAGTGTATCATTTTGTTTTTTGATATATTTCAATTTGAAAATAAATCGGCTGGTAGTACCAAAAAAGCCGGAAATAGCAAACACAAGAGAAAACATAAGTATGCATGAAAAATTATAAAAGAAAAGATCATTTGCTCGATCATTTGTATGTCCTAGTTCCTATCTACATCTTTAAAAATATCCAATAAGTGTATATTGTATATTTTCTTTTATATCAAGAACTCCAGAAATCGAAGATAGGTGAAAGGACGTACCAGTCACTAAAATATTGTGAACACGCAAGATGAGTTTGCCCCAGAAAAAATAAATTTCACCTCCCGAATTTGGTGAATATGAAAAGAGTTTTCGTCGCGACTTTCCTTATCTCTCTCAATAAAGACTGAAAAAAATCGTATCTGAGTTTTCATCTGGTTTTTCATTAGTAGCTTCGTGTATGTGGAACCAGTTTAGCAATTAATTTTTTTCGTTAAAATTCTAAAATCACGATTCGCTGAAATTACACTCTTACACACCTTGCGACCTTGTAACTTGTCTATATGGCGCAGGAAAATAATTTCATTACATGAAAGAAACCGAGAAAAAATACATGCTGCGTGCCAACCAGTAATTGGTGCGATCCCAAGGATAGTCCAGTCAGGGAATAATAGTATTTATGGAGGTATTTATTCATCATGATGGTAAGCCTCGGGATTTAAGGTCCCATGGTGAACATATTCTTCGCTACTTAGGTGCAGGCGGTTACAGGGTTGGAATGAGTCATGACCAAGGCCATGTCTTTCATAAAAAGTCGAAAGAAGTGAAAAATAGTTATTTATCATACAAGGGAAAAAAAATGGTACATTTTAGCTCCAGGTTGTGTTGACGTAAAACCGTGAGCTAAAATCTAATATTTTTCCCTTATATAATAGTTATTTATTATACAAGGGAAAAAAGTTGTAGATTTTAGCTCCAGGTTGTGAGCTAAAATCTAATATTTTTCCCGTTTATAATACACTATTTTTTTCTGTGACAGAAGAAAGGACGGATCAATATTGAGAAGATATTACATTATTTTGAAATCTGAAAATTATCGACGTGAAATTTTAAGTTTTTAACAGTAGGGACACCTGCGTTGTAGGCATCTTCATCATTCTTTTGAAGTAATCAAATATCTGATGTCACTTCTGTCAGTCTAATTCTGTGATTTGATTTAAAAAAATTGCGGATTTAGTGGTTGTTTAGTAATATACGTAACCGCGAAATCGAATGGGAGATAAAAGGACATGCAGTTTTTTCTCGGAGACGGTATTATTGACTCATTTTTCGGAACTATAGCACAACAAAAACCATCTACAGTGAATATCGAGGTGAATATATATATATGTGATATATATCCGGGAAAAAAGTAATTTATGAAAAGTGACATTTTATAACCTGCCAACAAAGATGAAACGTCAAACTGTTTTCCCGTCACAGAAAAAAAGTAATTTATAAAAACAAATCAGCTTTCCGATTTCATTGCCAATTAACAGGTGCCCTCCGGCACTCATTACCCAAAATTGCCTAATTCCCACCACAGATTCGTTTATTTCGCCATCGGATTAGTCTATGTGAATTTTTTCAGATTTTTAAAAGGCCAAATAAAAATTTTGATTTCCCCACCTGAGACCTCAGTACGATATAGTCACCGAGCTATCTTCGGACGGCCGAGAGTGCCAGGAAACGGCGGAAATTCACGCGAATCTTCGCTTTCCCAGTAGAAAATGACACGCTGACTCGAATGAGACCATGATCAGCCCGAT